TAACAGTTTTTTTGAGATACAATTCACTTACCATATGACTCACCCATTTAAATTATAAATTCAGAGTGCCTGGGTGGCTCAGCTGGTTAAGCGTCCAACAATGCAGACAGCTCAGAGTCTGGAGCCTGCTTCAGATTCTGTGTCTCCCTCTCACTCCGTCCCTCCCCAGCTCATACTCTATCTCTCTCTCTCTCTCAAAAGTAAACAATAATTTTTTGAAGTATAAATTCAATGGGTTTTAGCCTCAGAGTTTTTGCAGGATTCAGTGATATTGAACACACAAATTGTCACCACTATTAATAATTCTTTGCTCATAATTTGCATTATTTCCTCAGGCTAAGTCCATAGAATCAGCCTTATAATAAGATAAAAGCCTATGTAGGGGCATCCGGGTGACTCAATCAGTTAAGCATCCAGCTCTTGATTTCTGCTCAGGTCATGATCTCATGGTTTGTGCAATCAAGCCCTGCATCCAGCTCCACACTGAGCATGGAGCCTGGTTGGGACTCTCTCTCTCTCTCTCTCTCTCTCTGACCCTCCCCTGTTCGAATCCTCTCTCAAAATAAATAAAAATTAAAAACTAATAAAACCTTGGGGCGCCTGGGTGGCTCAGTCCATTGGGCATCCGACTTGGGCTCAGGTCATGACCTCGCGGTTCGTGGGTTCGAGCCCCGCGTCGGGCTCTGTGCTGACAGCCAGCTCAGAGCCTGGAGCCTGTTTCGGATTCTGTGTCTCCCTCCCCAGTCACACTGCCTCTCTCTCTCTCTCTCAGAAATAAATAAAAAACATTAAAAAAATAATAAAGCCTATAAATCTCTCAAATGTTTTAGAAACAGATAGGTGTTCTTTAAATTTTTGTGGTGTGTGGTGTGTGGTGTGTATGCAGAATTTGGGAGCGTAAGAGTTGGTATGAAATTGTTGGGCTATTTGACCCAGCATGCTCTCTTTCATTTCCCCTTGCATAACCCTGAATCGTACTCAACCCCAAACCCACACCCACAGGGTAATTAGGGGAAGTTGATTCTGGCTCACTGTAACCTATAGCCCTGTAGAGCCACCCACCTATCCCTCTCCATATCCAAGGGCGACTCAATCAGTGAGGACTGCATTGGTACCAACCCCAACTGCCAATCTTAATTCACACCAAGGACACTGTATGGTGGTCTGGCAGGAAGGAGAGGCGGTGAGTCTCCATCAATGCCATGGGGAGCCCAAGCTACCCACCGAAAAAATCATAAAAAAAAATACTGTGTGGCCGTGGGAGTACGGGCTACATGTTTCAGGGCTGAGTTAGTGAAGCGTCAGCCAAAAGAGGGAGTGTGTTGCACCAGAGTGATGTGTGGGTGAACCCTCGGCATCCTGGCAGGTGTGAGAACAGGTTACGGGAGATGGGTGTGGGTTAGGTGATGAAGCATGAGAGGAAGGTGCAGGGAGGGTGTGTGGGGCAGGTGTAGGAGGGGGTGGGGGTGAGGAATGGGGCCCCCCTGGGGTTGGACCTAATAGTCAGACCAGTGGTTTGGAACCATTTTTGGGTCACAGCCTCCTTTGAGAATCTGACGGATGCTAAGGAAAGAATGCACAAACACACACACAAACACACAGTGACCCGCGCATTTTGCCTAGCATGTCAGAGGGTCCTGGAAGCTCATCCAAGGGCTCAGGATTTTTTTTCCCATTTATTATTTTTTTAATGTTTATTTATTTATTTATTTTTGAAAGAGAGAGACAGAGAGAGACAGAGAGAGACAGAGATAGTGAGCAGGGGAAGGGCAGGAGAGAGGGAGACCCAGAATCCAAAGCAGGCCTCAGGCTCTGAACTTTTAGCACAGAGCCCAACACAGGGCTTGAACTCACCAACAATGAGATCATGACCTGAGCTGAAGTCAGATGCTTAACAGACTGAGCTACCCAGGCACCCCTCCAAGGGCTCAGGATTAAAAACCTCTGGCCTAGACTAATTCACAGGGACTTGTCAGGAAAAAATCCAAATGCTGTGTTAAGAGCTTGAGAATACTCGTGTCTTTTTGTGTGAAAGACATTTATAGAGGTTTGCAGGTTTTGAACCCAAATTCCAAAGTCCCCTTACTCCATAAATGCTTTATGTGTCTTCTTCCAGTTTTTGTTTTGAAAATTTTCAAATCTACTGAAAATTTGCAAGCTCATGTAGTCATCAGCCATATTCTACAACTACAGCTGTCAACATTTCTGCCTAATTTCTCCCCTTGTCATGTATGCTTGTGCTCTTGGGACCCAGGTTTTCCTGGAGAACCATTTGAGAATAAGTTGCAGATGTTATGATACTTCATCCTTAAACACTTGGCATGTAACTCCTAAGATCAAGAGACTCTCTTGTATAACCACAATATAATCCTCACACTCACAAAATTTACCACTGATGCAATACAATTATGTAACGTACATCCTATATTCAAATTGTCCCAGAAGGCCCATTCCTTAGGGTCCTTTTTGCTGTGTTCTCTCTCCTTCCCTCCTCCCCTCCCCTCTTTCCCTCCTTTCCTTCCTCTATTTTTCATTCAGGATCAAACCCAGAATTACATACTTCATTTAGCTATATCCCTCAGGCTCCTTTAATCAAGAACTACTCCAGAGTTTTGTTTTGAATTGCCTTCTCTTGTGACACTGATATTTTTGAAGAGATCCAGGCTTAGCTGTTTTTGCAAAATGCTCCCCAGTTTGGATTTGTCTGACTGTGTCCTCGTAATTAGATTCAAGTTAAGCATTTTGGGCAGATGCCATGTCCCTACTTGGTGCCTCACATCACAGGGTCCTTTGGTCCCCTTATTGATGATGTTAAATGTGACTGGTAGCTAAAGCAGTGACGCCCACTTTGTAATTAGTAACTGGTCTGTGGGGTAACACTGTACCTGTTGAAAGCCTCTAAACGTGGCAAACGGTGGGTGAGCCAGTGGTGAGCATCAAGACTTAGTCTTTGCTCTCATGCTGTTTTTACAGTGGAGGGGACAGAATTACAAAATGACAAAATATGCAGTTTTCGGAAGGATGGGGTGCTGAGATAGAGAAGTATCAACTCTCCCACTTAAAGTGAACTCAAAGGGGCGCCTGGCTGGCTGGCTCAGTTCCTAGAGCATGTGACTCTTAATCTAGGGTTCGTGAGTTCAAGCCAAATTGGGCATTGAGCTTACTTAAAAAAAAAAGTACAGATTTAAATTTAAAAATCCATTAAAAACTAATGATTTGTTAAAAAACTGAACTTAAAGAGAGCTTGGGAAAATGGCAGAGTAGGAGGACTTTAGCTCACCCCGTCCCATGTTTATTCTAGATATAATCCACATCCAAGTCAATAAAGTGAACTTAAAGGTGAGATCTGAGGAGGAGAAAGAAGGCAGGCATGGGAAGGTAGGGGTGGAGGGGGTAGAGGTAGCCCTGGCCAAGCTTGGAGAGTGAGAGGAACCAAAAACTGGGTATGCGGTGGTCTCAGGGAGGGAAAAGTGATAGCAGAAAGGCTCTGGGCCTGCTAATAATGATACTGAGCACCCAGCAACTGTTCTAAGCGTTTTTATATGGTTTGCCTTATCTAAGCCTCCCCACAGCCCTGTGAAGAAGGCCATTATTGGTTTCATGTCGTAAAATCTACAGCACAGAGAGGTTAAGTTACTGATCCAAGCTCACACAGTTTGTAAACAGCACAGCTGGGATTCAACCTGGATAGATCAGACTCTACAGTCAAGAAGGAGAAGCAGGGTCTTACCTAGAAAACAGAATCTAAGAACGGATTGGAGTCAGAGCAACCTGGGCCCAGTTGGAAGTGCTATTGATACAGAGCGTAGAATGGGAAAGCAAGACCAAAGAAAGGGCCAGAAGATCAGAGAGAGAGGCCTGTGAAGAGCTAAAAGGCAACATAATAAACTAGGACAAATTTTGGTTGGCCACCTCACCCTCAATACAGGCCCAACCCCTGGCCTGTCCCTTCAGGCATTTGTCTGCTCTCTGTCCTCCCAGACAAAAACAGGACATTTACATTGTCTCAAAGTATTTCCCCACAAACTGCTTATTAATTTCAAACGGGAAAATAGGAACTTCACGGCCAGGAAGCTGGCCCATTCCAGCCTAACCAAGTGACAAAAGCGAGCACTCAGAGGGTTCTTAGGGAAGGCTCTGGAAGGGAATTTGGGAGAAAGGGTTTTGTGAGGAAGGCTCAGGGTGTAGAGAAAAGGGGAAATCTTGAAGCTGAGGAATATATGGGTGACAGAGCAGGTGTCGCCTGGAGAAAGAAGGGGTGTCTCCGGGAGGGAGAAATCTTGAGGTGGGGGTTGTTCTCATTGATAAGAATGAGTCATCGGGGAGGGACTTGATGGGGACGGTTTGGTTAACAAGGAGGGTCAGAACGGGGTGGGTACACTCTGGATGACTAGAAGGGGGAGAGCCAGAGGTAGGGGGTCTCCAGGACAGTGCTGAAAGGGCACACAGGGTCAAGACTCAAAGGCGGCGGTCAGCGGGTGGGGGAAGCCCGGCGGCCAGCGCGGCACGCCGCACCTAGGACGTACAGCTTTGGGAGTGGGGGGGGTCGGGGGCGGGGCCGGCACCGCCCCGCGGGTCCCCCGGCGCTGCAGGGGGCGCTGTGCGGCTGGGCGGCCCCGGGCCGGGCGGTGGCCGCTCCTAGTGAGCGCGGCCCCTTTTCCGGGTTTCCTCCTCCTCCTCCTCCTCCTCCTCCTTCTCCTCCTCCTCCTCCTTCTTCGCCGCCGCCGCCGCCGCCACTGCCCCTTTCCCGGCCGGCGGCCGCCGCTGCCGGTGCCGCCGCAGCCGCAGCCGCCGCTTCGGGGCCGCGAGCCGAGCGGAGGCCGCCGCGGAGCGCGAGCGCCGCCCGCCCCGCCGCCCCGCCGGCCGCTCCAGGGCCCGGCCGGCTCGGCCGGCGCCCCCCGCGCCCCCGCGGGCCCGGCCTGGCGTGGCCTCCCGCCGCCGCGCTCTTCCTCCTCCTCCAGCGCCCCGCGGCCCGCCGCCTCCTCCGCCCGCCGCCCCGCGCCCCCCGCCGCGCCGCCGCCGCCCTCTGCGCCCCGCGGCGCCCCCCGGTCCCGCCCGCCATGCCCGGCCCGGCCGCGGGCAGCAGGGCCCGGGTCTACGCCGAGGTGAACAGCCTGAGGAGCCGCGAGTACTGGGACTATGAGGCTCACGTCCCGAGCTGGGGGTAAAGCCGCCGCCGCCGCCCCCACCCTCGCCCGGCCACCCCCCGGCGCAAACCGCACTCGCCCCCCACCCCGCGGTCTGCCTCCCCTGCCGCTGGCCGACGCTTTGGGGTCTGGGGTGGGAGGCAGAGCCCCCCACCGCCGCTCTCCGCACACGTCCCCGGCTCCCTCTCCCCCATTCTCCCCTTGCGCACCCCACTCTCCCTCATACCCCTAGGAATGCTTTCTTACTGAGAAGTGTCGGGTCCAGGGACGGGAGCCAGGTGGAAATGAGGGAGTAGCCCTTCCTCCTTACACTTTTGGGTTTTTATTTGGGGTGGGCAGTCAGCAGCTGTCCTCTGGAGCTATTAAAATTCTCTGCCTTTTTAGTTCTTTGAGAGGAGGCTGGGTGGGAGGAAACCTTTTAAAGACATCCACATTCCCAAAGCAGGCGCTGTCTACCTTTGGGGTGTGAAGTGTAAGGCAGTTGCTCTGGAGCCCCGGACAGAGGGGCACGCTCTGAGCCTCCAGGAGGGATGCTTTGCTCCCCCTTCTAGTTTGGCCCAGAGCCGTGCCTTCTTACCTCCGCTCCCCAAGTTGTGACGGACCAATTAGATTAGGAGCTGTGCGCAGCGAGAGGAGCCAAGTTTATGTTGTGGCTTTCATTTAGGGAATGAGTTGTATCCTGATGTGTGGATGCTTCCAAGGCTTGATTAATGGAAACGGCTGGATGGGGGTGTAGAGTGGGCATGGGCTTGGTTAATCCCAAGTCTTGGCATTGATGTGTCACTCTTGCCTTTCACAGTAATCAAGATGATTACCAACTGGTTCGAAAACTTGGTCGGGGAAAGTATAGTGAAGTATTTGAGGCCATTAACATCACCAACAATGAGAGAGTGGTTGTAAAAATTCTCAAGGTGAGTGTCTTATGAGTGGCATTAAAATTTTTGTTCACCGGTCAGGATGTAAACTCCAGCCACATTCTAGAATGAGCAATGCAAGCTCTTTAAACCTATTCTGTCTCCTGTCCCTTCGCTACTCGCTCTCCCACCCATTTTCCTGTGGACTTTGAAGTATGTGGACCTGTTTCAAATCTAAGGAAGATGTTCAGGATCATCCTTGTTCTGAAATGTCGTTTTGGGCTCCCAGAGTGAAAATTCCAAAGGGGCTCCACTTGTTACAAAAGAAATAGGTATTCAGAAGAAAGAAAAGCTTTTTCATGAAGATCCCATTGATCGAAATGAGTTTGTTACCCTTGATGCTCAGGTTATTCCAGAAAGAAAGTTGGGAAAAATTAGAGCCGCTCCAAAGATGAGTTTGAAGCTTGTCTCTTTTGGCAGTAAAGTTTGTCAGGTAGGGTAGATACAGTGAGCTAGTAGTGCCCAGAAGGTTCATTGTTGTTTTTCAAATAGTAAAGGTGAAGTTGGGAGCAGTAAAAGGGTACACTCTAAAGTTATAATTTCAACAAAACAGTGTCTGGTTTAGTAGCCTAAGTTGGATAAAGACACACCTTTTGTCGTCTTCTCAAGTGAAGACATGATTTTCATGAGGATGAAGAGTTGGCTAAATTCTTTTTCAGGTAACTGCTTAGATTTAATTATGTTTTATAGAGTACACTAAAAGAAAGGTAATTCTTAGATTCTGTAAAGGGTCCTCATCTTTGCCAGATCATTTAATGTGTGTGCATGTCATGTAGTGAAATGTTGAAAAGACTAAAGAATGATTAATACAAGCAGTTTTGCATATTCAAGATGTGCAATGTGGCCATTTTGGAGCCGTGAATAAGGTCATGGGATTGGGAAGCTGTTGTGTCTTAACGCCCAGAGTTAGGGCAGCTGTGTCCCTGTTGAGCATGAGGGGTCAGGCTTACACGGTCTGAAAATCACTTTTCAGAAGAGTGATCAGCTCTGTTTCTCAGTACCATCCGAGCCTAATGACAGAGAAGCAGAGCTGCAGTAGAGAGAAACAGGGAGAGTTATCTGTGCCGTCAGAAACACTGCGGGTGAGAAGTGAGGAATTGATACTGAAGATGTGGAGTTTGACTCTCCTCTTCCCCAAATATGAATTGGACCTGAAAAGTCACATGGTCTTTTTTTTTTTCCTTCCTTTACAAGCATAAATATTTAAAGAAATGTTCCCTTAAGAGAAGTCGCCTGGGGAGGCCATACGCTTTTTTCCTTTATGCATAAGCATAAATGTTTTTAATAAAAGCTGCTTAAAGTCTTTTCAGGAAGTAAGCAAGGCATAAGTTAAAATTAGGACTATCCATATTCCTCTGCTGTGCATTTGGAAGAATGAACTGACTGCATAACAGTTTCAGAAAAATGACTAAACTTTTGTGCAGCAGTATTTTTAGGATAAGTGTGTAACTTCCTGTGGTGTCTTTCGAAGGAACGGCCTTTAGGTAAATATAAAAGTGGCAGCGTGTTCATGCGAGAGAGAGTCACACTACTCGTGAGTCTTCCTTCTTCAGTACTTCATAGCGTCAGTTGCTGGAGAGTTTTTCCCGTAAAGATTCTCAGGATATGTTCAGGGAACCCAGTATGTAAAGTGAAGGTGATTTTTACAGACAAGAAACCTGGGCACAAGAAAACTTAATCTGCTTCCACGGTGTTGAAATGACCCTTAGCCAGAACTCCTGTTTCTTTTTCTCCCCATTTTAGCGTTGGTTTGTGAGATCTTGATGTTGAGCACAGAAGAAGTTCCAGTGTTCGGGAATAAGACTTGGGAGACTCCTTTGATGCTCTGATTAATGAAGTGTTTCTTGTAGCTTTTCCATACACGTTCTCTTCAGGGTACAGCCTGAACCACCTCTTTTCCACTGGTGCAAACAACACCCACTTCTTTAAGTTTTTTCAAAGCCCTGTGGCGTTTCTGTCCAGATTTTGTTCTATCTGAAGGATGGGGTCAGAAACTACTGATGGTACTGTGGTTTCCTTGTTTTCACTGGCTGAATTAAAGTAGATTAAAAGTACTGTGATTTATTTTTTAATTTTTTTAAATGTTTTATTTATTTTTGAGAGAGAGATAGAGACAGCGTGAGCAGGGGAGGGTTAGAGAGAGGAAGATACAGAATCCAAAACAGGCTCCAGGCTCTGAGCTAGCTGTCAGCACAGAGCCTGACGCGGGGCTTAACCCCACTAACTGTGAGATCATGACCTGAGCCGAAGTCAGACGCTTAACCAACTGAGCCACCCAGGCGCCCCATAAAAATACTGTGTTTTAAAACGAACAAGGTCTTTAGCCAAAGTTGTGCACCCCTGTTCAGATAAGTTATGGCTAATCACCTGCTGTTACACTGTTTGGTCGTAGGAAATTAGGTCCTGAACAGAGTACCAGCTGTTCATAATTTGGAGGAATCTAGAAAAAACTTGCTCTTCATAAAAGGCCTACTCTTATTTCAGCTGCAGGAAGGGACTTATATGTTAATGTACGCACAGTGACTGAGATAGAGGGTTCTTTCCCTGAGGAGAGGGGCTGTCTTCATTTTTAATCAGTTATTTCCAACATGAGAATGATCAGATGAATGACCACAGAGGAATTCTGCCATTTAATTTGCATTGGTAGATTTTTTTTAGTAGTTTTTTGATCAACACATATTGGAGCTCTTAAGAGGTTTGAGGAATTTGGAAGTTGGTGAGTAAAATTTACTTTCTCTCTTGAAGTGAAATTCTGAGGTTGAAATCTTAAAACGCTCCAATCAACAGAGAGGTTATATCTTTTTTGACAGAAATTGTTTTGAGGGGAAGAGAGGAGGGTGGATGGGAAGAGTTAACATAGAAGGGTAGAAAGCCAATTCAGTGCCTGCAGTTTCATCTTCTGATTCTGAAAAGTCCATTTTTCAGTCTGTTTGTAGTACCTCTTAGGAAGGTATACACAGAAATAAAAGCATTTGGCCCTTTTTTTAATGTTTTATTTATTTCTGAGAGACAGAGAGAGACAGCGTGAGCAGGGGAGGGTCAGAGAGAGGGAGAGACAGAATCCGAAACAGCCTCCAGGCTGTGAGCTGGCTTGCAGCACAGAGCCCGATGCATGGCTCAAACCCACAAACCATGAGATCATGACCTGAGCCGAAGTCGGATGCTTAACCAACTGAGCCACCCAGGCGCCCCTGCGTTTGGCCCTTTTGGACAGCTTGTAGCATTTCGTGAGTACCACCTGGGTATAGATTTCAGCCCTTCTTGGGATCCTTCAAAATAGAACTACTATTTCCTAAATAGAAGTTAAGAGCAATACAGTTTTTAAATAAACACATACGGTGTCCTGAACTCATGCTGTACTCATTTGGAAATTCTCACATAGGAGAGTAAGTTGGTAGTCTCTTGATGATCTTATTTATAAAGAGTTGGGCAAATCCATTTTTCCCCAGAGGTTAATCCTTAAGATTGAAACCAAGAATGATGGTAACGCAAGTTTACTTTGGAAGTGCGCTTAGCATATTTGTGGACACTGTGAAACCTGTGTGCTGTGAGGAGGTAGTGGGGGGGGGGGCTGTCCCTGACACATGGTGTTCGTTGTTTTGTAGCCAGCGGGCCACTGTGTAGGTTATATGGAAGCGCTGTCTGCTCCATGCTGGTGCCGGGCTTTCTCTCTTATTTCTGCTTTCTCCAGTGGTAGGTTTCACCCTCTGCGTACTTTGTTAGGCAAATGTACCAAGACCTCGTCTTCCTGAAGCAGGACATTGGTATTAGTGTATCCAAAGTTCTTGTGATTTTGAGTCCCACCAATGTCATGGTATAGAAGTCATTAAAACAGTATTATTTAAGTGTTACAAACATCAGAAATAATGTACATTTTTTAGATGATGTGAACTAATCAGTGCTGTTCCTAATGCAGTTGTAGAGTCAGGGATTGAATTTGCAGTGAAACAGAATCACGAAATACCGGAGCAGAGAAACCTTAGAACCCAAACCCTTTTCGGAGATAAACGGAGACCCAGAAAGACATTTGCTCAGGGTCACGGTTGGGGTGGAAGCGCCAGGGTCCTCTGTCGCTGTCACGGAGTCTTGTAGATGTCGGGGGCAGTTAGGACAGTTGCTGGTTCCTTGGCTTCTCGACGTGCTGCACTGTCCTGGAAGGATGGATGGACACTCACTAAAAGTCAAATGAATTTCCTTGTAATGATTTTGGGGAGTTATTCTTCTGGAAGGAAATGCTGGGCTTTGACGGATTGCTGGATGGAGTGTGGAAGAGCCCGGAGAGCTTTAGGGACCCACCTAGGGATTCTCTGGTTTGTGCCTGCAGCTGGGTGTTTGATGCATAACTGAAATGTTACTTTGCTCTCTTGGTTTGAAGCCACAATAACCAGTGTTTTTACACCTTTTTAACCCATACAGTTCCATGTCTTATCATGATGACTTGCCCGGTTTGAGGGCCAGCAGCTTTATTCCTCTAATATATTAGGGTTTATTGGAGAGTGAGCCGTGTGTAAAAAGAATATCTTGTTATAGAGTACCCATTTGCATGTGTAGAGCATGGCTCTGGGTAGTTTCTAGAGCCTGATTTTAGGATCTGCCATCTCATGATCAGCGTGGAATAGTGTTAAGAAGTGCTGTAAATGGAGGGTAGAAGACTTGGGCTCTAGAACCAGCTTCTTCATGTCTACCCACTTGACTCTGTTTTCTTGTCTATAAAATGGATATACATTTCTTGTGTAAATTACAGTGTTCTTGGGAGACTTAAATGAGATATGCATAGGTGGGTAAGTAGACAGCAGTGGTTTAGTCATCTCCAAAGTGGTTCTTTCCTGAAAGTGGTCCTGGAATTAGACTGCCTGTGTTCAGATATTCATTCCCAACACTCAGATGCTCTGTGACCTGAGCAGTTATTTCAAATCTGCCTCGGTGTCCTCATGCAAAATTGCTCCAATAGAACTCATCTCAGGACACTACTAAAAGTGGATTCAGTGTGCTTACAACAGTGCCTGGCACTTAGCAATAAAGTATAGTTCTAATAATATTTCACTTGGGCCACATGAATGATTTCAAAGGGAGGGACCAGAAGTAGAAAGGACTGTACCAGTCTCTTGATGAGATTCAAAAGGCCTGCTGTATGCCTTATTTTTTAAATTGACAAAAACAGAAATTCTGAGAATGAACAGTCTTGAGGAGTTGATATTATAATTGGAAAGATGGGATTTGAAAGATGAAGGGAAGAGTTGCTGTGAAGAAATAACATTGCTCAGATGCTGTTTATATTTGGGTCAGTTGTAGTAGAATTTAGAGATGCTCCCAAGGTAGTAAAATAAATGCTGTCATCCGGGCCGCACTTTCTTCCTTACCCTATCCTGCATCCTGCCAACCATTGTTCATTGTAATTGTTTATTGCAGGTGATGAAATTAATATCTAAACTGTCGCTGTGGCACTGGAGTAAAAGTAATTCCAGATTTCAAAGTTCTGCGTTATCTTCTCACCTGTCTTGAATTTATTAATTCAGTTGTGCTTAGAAAGAAATTAAAATGGGACTTTGCCTGTTAACATTTGTTGGGATTTATTGAGGTCCTAATTCTTAGGCCCCTTGTATAGGTTAGTTTGCAAATTGAATCACAGTCAGGTGCTCGTAGTTGAAATCATGCTCAGATCTGGCTTTTTAAAAATCAGCTTTAGTAAATAGGACAGATTATTGACTTTATTAACTTTTGACTTTCTAAGCAGCACATCACTAAATTCGTCTTTTGTTTTAAGTTTCTCTGGTTGGTCAATAGGGAGAGGGAAGTATCTTACTCTTGTATTACATTGAACAAGGTTCTCCTGGATAGCTGAGACTCTATCATATGGGCAGAAACCCTCGGGAATGTTTCTTCCTCTCTTCCATCTTTTCTTTCTCTGTTTTTTCCTTTCCTTCCTTTTCATTCCTTTTCTGAACTCATGCACAGAAAATTTCTGAGTTTTTTTTCTTTTACACATTCTTCCTAGGTGTATGCCAAAATTCATTTATTATTGAAACTTGATTTAATACATTAACTTCTTTTTTTTTTTTTAACTTTTTGCCATTTTTATCTATAAGACTTTGAGTTTAAAAAAAATAGTTTGGGGATCAGGAAACAGCTAAACTGATTCATTTCAAATCTTTTAAACAGACATTCTCTGAATTGGAATAAATGAACTGTAAGTGGGAGAGACTTTTGTCTAGCAGGATGAAATGATGAGACTGTTAGGGAAGCGTATGTATTTTCTCAGCTTTGTATAACTGTGGGTGGATGAGTACAAACACTGGGCTTCATGGTCACAGCATTCTAATTTCTACAAAACTCATGATCTGTTTTCCATAGGATGCCAAGGGTCTTCCTTTATAAATTCTTTTTCTCTCTAATTCTGTTCATAGAATTAAAATGATCACTTTCATTCTCCGGGAGCTTGTTGGTTTTTTAGCTTCTGGACCACCTCCCAGGTTTAGAAGAGTCAGCTTGAGGCTGAAGGGAGTTACCTGTAGCCTGGCTCCTGTAGAGAATAGATGCCCGTGCTTTGGAGGGGAGTGTCCTGAGCTGTTGGTCACTTTCCTGTTTTATAATCTCTTGGTCTTTTGTCAAGACTGCAGGTGCTGTGTGAGTCCATTGCCCTGCTGTCCCCAGTCTCTAGGTGAGGAAGTTGTTGGACAGGTGACAGTTGGGCAGCAAAATAGGGCACCTACATGGCTCGGTTGTATGTCTGAGTCTTGATTTTGGCTCAGGTCATGATCCCAGGGTTGTGGGCCCCTCGTCAGGCTCTGTGCTGAGCATGGAGCCTGCTTGGGATTCTCTCTTTCTCTCTCTCTGACCCTCCTCGTGCTCTCTCACTTGCTTGTTCTCTCTCTCTCAAATAAAATTAAAATAGTTTTTTAAAAAATGCTTCACTTGCTCCGTAAGTTACCTTAGGACATAACGAAAAGATCCCTTAGTCTCAGCTGCATTGTCCAGGAGCAGTGTGCCTGCTTGACCTGCTGCTCAGTAACAGGAGAGCAAAGCAAGGCTTTATGTGGCGCCTTGTCATAAAGGAACTTATTTAATGCGTTACTCCTGTATGACTTCACTGTTAGGGAAGAGGAAGGGTTTTGGTGTATACAGATTTCTGGCTGTGGTGTATTTTTTCCTCTATTACCATTCACAGATCTGTAACTGCTTTCCAGGAGTGGATGACAACTCTAGAATTTTCTTACATTGAATATACCGGTAGCATTGGCTGAATTTATAAATACAATAGGTTTTCTTTTTCTTCTTAACTTGGACTTAAAAGTTGCAAGAATTTCCATGTCACTCGGATTTCTTAAATGTTAACATTTGCTTTTGCTTCTGTCTCTCACGTATGTATATATGCACATGTACGTATATACATACGTGATTATGTGCTTCAGAGTAAATTTCAGTGATCGTTTATTCTTATATAACCCCACAGTGCTGTGATCAAAAAGCAGAAATGAACATTGATACAGTGCTGTTAGCCAATTTATAGCCTCTCTTCTCATTTGCCAGTTGTCCATATAATGTTCTTTATAGCAAAAGAAAATCCCAGGTCATACGTTACGTTCAGTTGTCATACCTTTTAAATCTGGAACAGTTCAGTCTGTTTTGTGATGTCGACATTCTTGAAGCTTACTTATTTTGTAGTATGTCCTTCTCTGGCTATTCTTTGATCGGGTTGTACTTCACGTTTGAGTGTTTAGTTTTCCCAAATTATTGAGCTCCCCAATGGAAATGGGAATGAATAAGACCCTTAGTGGAAGTGGGAGAGAGACGGTGGCCGGATGTCCTCCCCTGGGAACCCTGAAAAGTGGAGCGGACATGATTGTCGCAGCTGGCTTGGAGGAATGCTGCTAGATTACAGTCTCTCCATCAGGCACCCTGTTAGAGGTGATGCAGGTGCTCTGGGTTTCATAATCTCCCTCTGTTTTGTTATGTGTTCACAGCTGTAGCTTAGTGACCAACAAAAGATGACGGTTTCTCTGGCATATGGATATATCTCCCCCTCCCACCCCCGTACGTGCAGGAGTCTGAAATCTTATTTCATCGCAAACCCGTTGGTCTCTGCCTTTCTATTATAGTAGTGTCTCTGTGATAGAATGTTCCTTTTCCTTTGTTCCCTTTCTCCCATAGCCACACTTGAGAGATGAGAGCACAGTGGCCAGGAGTGAGGCCTACAGAGTCACTGTCAGATCTGAGTCCTGCCCCTGCTCTTCACGGTTTGCTGTGGGACCTTGGACAGATGGCTCAGCCAGGCCAAGTCCACGATGTAGGCCTTTTGTGATTTATTGCTAACTAAAAATGTGAAAATAGTAAAGCTCCCACTTATTGAGTGCTTACTACGTGCCAGTTAGTGTTCTAAGTACTATATAAAACAATTCATTGTGATGTGTCAGTTTTTCCAGAACTGCTTTCATTCTTCAAATTCTTTAAGACAAGAAGTAACACATGTAATGCTCATGTTTCTAATTGAGATCTTTAATTTTTCTGTCCAGCAGACTGAAAGGTTAGCACATAGCAGAAGTTTCCAATCAGTATGGTATCAGAGATCAGCTTTCTCCTTTGCTGATCCATCATCTCTTTTTTAGGAATGGGATCTGTTGGGCAGTTTTACCGGCTCTGTGCTGATTTCAGATTTTAGATGTTGAGGAAGTGGGAGTGGCAACAGGAAATGGGAGCCAGCAGCTGGGAAACAAGTTTGTAATTTGATGTCAGTGGCCTGGTCTTCACTCCTGGAAGACGACATTACACGTAACTCATTGGTAGAGCAGGTGTCTCACCATTTTGTTTCAGTGTTTCCATTTGTGAGCGCATGATATACAGCTGTTCAGAGCTGTAATGTGTTCCATTTGGCAGTTATCTAGAAAGTGTTTTATTTTTAAAGTATGACATGGGTGTTTAAAATTTGTAAGTGCCCTAAATGTAACTGCTTAAAGATCTGACACATATGCCATATGAGTCTGTATTTAACTCAGTCTTAAGTGTTCTTAAGGGCAGGCCCCATTTTATCTTGATATTCTTTTCTTTTCTGATTTAGACGCACTCGTTTACATAACACCATGGTGTACAAGGTATTGCTGCATCCACTTGATTAGCTGACATTGTTTTAAAATTTTATTTATTAACTTCAAAAGGAGTCTTACTTCCAATTATTCTTATATATTTAAGCCAGTGAAGAAAAAGAAGATAAAACGAGAGGTTAAGATTCTGGAGAACCTTCGTGGTGGAACAAATATCATTAAGCTGATTGACACTGTGAAGGACCCTGTGGTAGGTGCCTGATGGTGGGGGGAGAAGGAGAAAGAGTGTGTGTGTGTGTGTGTATGTGTGTGTGTGTGTAACAGACCATCAAAATAATGAGAAAAGTCATTACGTAGTGGGAATGATTGTGTTTTTCTTTACTACTGAATAATTTTGAAGATGAGAAAAAAATCATAATGGCCCAATGATAAAGTAGCCACCACCACTTTTTAGGAAATCTAAAAGTATATAGAAACCTGGCCCAGGTTTATTACTTCCTCCCGATTCTGCCCACAAATGTTCACTGAATATCTTCTTTAAGTACCTACTTCTCTTCCGATTTTGAAAGCTTACTACCACCAGTTAGCATTGTTTGTACTTCACCTAAGTCAGGTGACATTTGAAAATCTGGGTTTAGAGAAGGAAATCCCAAATGTCCCGTGCAAACACTGGACACATCACAGCCCTGCAGCCCCTTTGAGGAAGGCACCTTGCTGCTTCTCATACATACTAAGCTTTAGTTCAGCATCTGCCGCTTGGGCTCACATTGTACATCCTGATACAACTAAACTATTGCTGTTAAATGTGCTTACTTTGTAGCCATTTTAGATGTACTGCTGTTTAATTTTGTTTTCCCTTCTTGGGTAGTACCTTACCCTAACTGTTAATGATTAGCTAGAGTTTTTAGGTTCCACTTCCTGCCCCATTTCTGTTCTTCACCTGTTCTGCCTCACCTGTTTTCTTGTCCTGCCAGGATAGCTTTTTGTTTGAGAGGTAGGTTTTACTTTTGTCTGCTAAAGACGTTATAAAGAAACAATGTACCGGGGCGCCTGGTGGCTCAGTTGGTTAAGCCGCTGCCTTTGGCTCAGGTCGGATCATGATCTCACAGTTTGTGAGTTCAAGCCCCATGTCGGGCGCTCTGCTGTTTGCGCACAGCCTGTTTCTGCCCTTCCCCTGTTCTCTCTTTTTCTCTCTCTTTCAAAAATAAACTTAAAAAAACAAAACAAAACAAAACACTGCTGTGCTAACATGCATTGAGTGCTTGCTGTGTGCAGACACCATTGTGTACCAAGCCATTCAGTTCTCACAACAGGCAGGAGCAGGGGCCATTATTGGCCACAAGGTTATTTGCACAGGTAAGAAAACCAAAGGCTACAGGGGTTCAGTAATTTGTTCAAGATTACCCAGTATTATTGAACTGAACAATAAGGAAAATTTTCCTCTTGGACCCTCAAAAGACTGAGAAGAATGGCTGTCTGTTAGAATCTAATTGGCATTAAAAGTATATCCCAGCCTGATCAGCTCAGATTGATTTTATAGTGACTAACTCTGAAATCCATAATCTTTGAAAACGGCCTGCATTGTGAGCCAGTATGTATTACTATTGTACCAGGGGCGTCTTCATGTTGCTTTTTTTTTTTTTTTTTAAGTTAACTGAAGTTAGTGATACTTGTGTTACTGTTTTTGTAATTTGTTGCTTAAGGCATGTGTGTGTTTTATATAATCTGTAACACAAATCAAAGTGGATGAGAATCAACAGGAGCCCTCCTCCCCAAACTTGGAATGGGAATAAAGAGGTCTAGTGGTCTGGATGAAACCCTGTCACCCTTGGGCTAGTGAGGAATCTTTGCCTACAGCTGCCAGGGCTGCTTGTTCTGACAAAGACTTGTGTGCGTGCACTGTGGCCTGTCTCCTAGGTAACTTTCACCTGCTTCTTTGAGTAAAACTTCCCAACCATAGAGATTTCCAAGGTGACTTTCTTGCTGTAACCCCTTGAAGCCTCTGCTTTTCTCTCAGTTTGAAAGCTTATTACTGCCAGTGAGCATTAATTTTACCTTAAGTAAACCTGACGTTTGAGAAGTCTGTATTTACACAAGGAAATGTTGGATATTATGTACTCATTGCATTAAAGATTATAGTGCTTTAGAAATACTTGGTTATGCATGAATTTTTTGGGAACCTATACACTTTGTAAAGTGAGATACTCTCTAGGCAGTAATTTCACATTATAGCTTGCTGATAATCATAGATATTTTCCTTTTGGATCCTGAAAAGGCCTATAGATTCCCAAGATGTATGATAATTCTGTAAAATGCATCTGGCTTGCTAAAGCAAGTTGAAAACATGTCACTCCTTTGGTTGGCTGACTGGAACACTGCAGAGTATACATCTTCACATGATGTGCCAGGCCCACTGACAGGTTGGTCAGAAGATACAGAAAACCAAACAAACAAAAAAACTTATGAAAAATGTCAACTATTTACAAAAGTAAAGTGAATAATAGAACGGACCGCCCTGCACACATCACTCAACTTTAGCAGTGCCTCAGCTTGTGGCCAGCTTCGCTTCATCTGGCTGCCACCCACTTTCCCACCACCCACCATCCCCGCTTATTTTGAAGCAAATTCCAGACACACAGTCTCAAGAGGATACTTTCTTAAAAGGCTCTCCCTGATGAGTAAATCCCTTTTTCATTTAAGTGGGATTTGGGGACAGAGGGGTATGACAGAAGCAAAGTATGTTTATTGTTTGGATACTTATTAGACATTACTCTTCTCTCTCGCAGTCAAAGACGCCGGCTTTGGTGTTTGAATATATCAATAATACAGATTTTAAGGTGCGTATATGCTTTTTCTCTCTGGCATGAGGTTAATGGGGGTTGGGGAGGTGGTGATAGGTACTGTTGACACTCCAGAACACAAGGGGTTCAGGAAAAGTTATGGTGAGAGTGGGAATTAACAAATTGGATTCCTTATAGCAGGAGTACAGGATGCAGAAAGTAGGTGGAGTTCTTGCGTTTGGTAAAATTACTCATCACCCTCTGCCTTGCTTACTGAGACTAGCTGCTAGTCTAAGCTAATGCCTCATCTGTAATACTCCTGTTTTAGACAACATAGTTTTGGGTAGATACTTGATTTGCATAGGAATCTTCCATTGCTGATAAGTCATAAGCGGATATGGGACTTATATAAAAAGAAGCGACACATGGGATTCAAGCTGTCAGAGTATGTTCACGTACACTGTATACAAAGCAAATGACACAAAAAAGCTAGTTAAGAGTCAGTGTGCTTCAGAAAAGCCTTATCTTGGGTTAATTACATTTCTTGGATTTATAATGCATATTAATTTAGACTTGAAGTGTAATTCTAAAAGCATTGCTTTAAGCTGGGTTTTCATGAGTTGTTTTTTTTTTATTGTTCAAACACTGCAGCCTTAACTTCTGCCAAGGTTTTTGGGGCCAGGCATTCTGGTCATGGTAGAACATAATATGGAAACCAATATGGGGCGCCTGGGAGGCCCAGTCGGTTGAGCATCTGACTTCGGCTCAGGTCATGATCTCGCGGTTTGTGGGTTCGGGCCCCACATCGGACTCTGTGCTGACAGCTAGCTCAGAGCCTGGAGCCTGCTTCGGATTCTGTATCTCCCTCTCTCTGACCCTCCCCTGCTCACACTGTCCCCCTCCCTCCCTCCCTCCCTCTCTCTCTCTCTCTCTCTCTCTCTCTCTCTCTCTGTCTCTTAGAAATAAATAAAACATTTAAAAAAATTTTTTTAAAAAAACAATATAAACTGTGGCGTTGATTTTGAGAGGTGTTTGGAGGACTTTTAGGTGATTATAATTCTGTCACTGAATGAAAGGCTTGTGATTTTTTTGTGATGGAAGTTAGGTGCAAAACCAAATCAGCAGTTGAAAGATGCTAGTATCAGGGGTGAAGCTTGTGGGTGAAAATAAAAGAGGTTTATCTCTTTTATTACCTAATTTTTCTTAGGCAATCACTCTAAAAGAAGGTTAATTCATGGAAAATAAGTAAAAGTGGCTATTATAATTTACAAAACAAGTTTTATACACAGTGTAGCTTTTCCATATATAACAAATTTCCTTGTTACTGTGACTCTTTAAATTTTTTTTTTAATTTATTTTAGAGAGAGCCTTTAATGTGACTCCTTAAAGGTGAAATCAATAGTGAACTCATAAAAGTAGGCCATATGGGGTGCCTGGGTGCCTCAGTCGGTTAAGCATCCAACTCTTGATCTCAGGTCAGGTCTGGATCTCAGGGTCATGAGTTCAGGCCCCACATTGGGCTCCTTGCTGAGCGTGAAGACTACCTAAGGAAAAAAAAAAGTACTAAATTTTTCATTAGCGTAGCAGTGCTTAGCTGCTAGAGTAGTACTCTGCTGATACACAAAACCGATCACACTTTAGCCATGAATGGACCCAGGTTTATCAGGGTGTACATAATACGAGTGGGAATGTGTATGCATTTCCTAATGAAATCAAACATTTCCCTAAATACAAAAGTTTGAAAGCTGATCTTAATGAAACTTCATAGCAAAATGCCTAAGTTAAATGCTTCTGCTTCCTTAATGAGTTTTTACCAATTGTGTAGCCATACATACAAAATTTCACTTGAGCATTTTGTGTTTCTTAAATTGATGCCTGCTCTGTTGATTTAACAGCAGAAATTTTTAACTCCCTGGAGAAATCTTTCTTCTTTTACATCTGAACTCTCACAGGTTGTTTTAATGGCACACATTCTCTAGGAGCTTCCTTTAAAGAGATCATGGGAGATTAATGTTTATGGGGCTTGTATATCTGAAAACATTTCTGTTTTATCTTTCCAATTAATGTACTTGCCATGGCATAGAATTCTGGTTGTAATTAATAATTTTCTGAGCTCTTTAAAGAGCTTTTTTCTATATCATCCCTGAAACCATTCTGCTTTCACCTTATGTGATCTGGTTTTGGTTTTTTCTTTGGAAAGCTTTTAGGATTTTTTCTTCAGCCGCAGTCTGTGAAATTTCACAAGGATGTTCCTTCGAATGGGTCACTTTTATCTTTTGTTCTGTGCACTTGCTGGGCCTTTTCAATCTAGAATTTCCAATCCTTTCGTTTTAGAACAATATTTTTAACATTCTTTGATTTTCTTCCCTTCTTTGTTCTCACTTTCTAGAACTCATTCGAACGTTAGACTTTATTTCTTAGCTCTGTTCTATTCTCTGAACTTTTAAAAGTAGTATCCTGTTCTTTTATGTAATATCTTCTATTTTCTCACTGAGAGTATGTGGGTTTTCTTCCCCCCCATGATGTTTTCTTCTGCATGCCCTTTCTCGGTTTTTCTTTCAAATTCCTTTTTTCTGCATCTTTGGGTTTTGTTTCTGGTACAGTTGTCTGAAATGTCACCGACTTTGTCTACTCCTGTTTTAGAGGACTGAAATTACTGACGACAGCTTGTCAACTCCTGTGTCGGGGCGGTGAGCCTGGCCGTGGGCATCTCAGCCTCCCATGGAGGAGACTCCATGGAGGAGACTTTCACATAATTCCCTCATTTTAAACTTGTTTTCCTGTTTTCAGCTGAATCTGTGTACTCTCTTTCCTGGGTATCTGGGGTCACTGAATCCTGAGCCTTTCTGTAGTTCTTTCATGTGAGGTCATTTGCCCCGGACCCCCTCCACTTTGGGCAGAACGTTCAGTTCTTTGGTCTGCTGAGTCAGTTGGATATTTTTTTCTAGCTTCAAAATGTCGTCGTCTCTTCCATTTTCTTAGTTGTTGTGAGTGACTCCCCCTCCCTCCTCTCCCCCCCAGCCCATTCCTTTTACTGTTATTTTAGAGGAGCTTCAGGAAGAAGTGTAGGGAAGATGTGTTTGGTCTGCTGTGTTAAACTGGAGGTCCAGGGAATGTTCCAGCCCTGCCATTTTAGTCCACTTAAAAAATTGCCAAACAGCAGGTAGCGTAGGTGTATTTCGGAAGAATGGATCATGATGAGATGGTCATTGTCTTTTCCGGGTGGTAGGACAGACCACAGAGGGGGACGTCTGTTAGTTTAATGTCCTTTTTATTTTGTCCAGTATCTGTATTAATTAGAAAGGTTGTTTTTTATTTTTTTGTCTTACTGTTAAGTATATTAACAACTGGACTTAAAGTATCACCAGGGGAGTTTGTCACTGGTTTAGTTAGTATCCCAGGTGAAACAACAGTGGTACAACCTGCAGCCTGTTCTTTTCGGTATTTTTTGTTAATGCAATTGAAAATAAACGTTGATCTATAATTTCCTTTTATTGCAGACTCTGATTTTGGCTTCAGGATTATACTGACTTCATAAAATAAGTTGGGTAGTGTTTCCTTTCTAGTCTCTGAAATCTTATATGAAATAGGGATTATCTAGGTAGGTGTCTTTTTGGGAAGGAAGGGAAGACTTTGGACTACACTTTCCTTTTTATTTATTTATTTTTTAAGTTTATTTACTTTGAGGGAGAGCACAAGTTGGGGAGGGGCAGAGAGAGAGCACGAGAAGAGTTGGACGCTCAAACGACCGAGGTACCCAGGCGCCCCGATAATATTTATTACAAAAGTTGACTGCTTCCAGTGTTATTTGCATAAAGTTAGTAGAATTTTCCTAGGGCTTAAAGACTTTAATGTGTGCTTGTAATTATGTTTTCCTTTACAGTTTTAGCATCGTTTTTGCTTTTTCTCTTCTTTTAAAAAGTATCAGTGTTGCTACAGATATCTTATTAATATTTTCACAGAACAAGCTTCTGGTTTTATTGCTCAAATGTTTCTGTTTTTTCTATTTCGTTGTTTCTGCCCCTATCTTAATTCTTTCTTCCTCCTTCTTTGTTCCTTTTCTTTTTTGGGATTTTAGTGTTTTCACCCTATCTTCTTGAGTTGAAGACCTCTCTTTTCACACGTTTGTTTCTTGATTTGTGGCGAGCGGGTGTTACGTCTGTGCCACCCCAAGCACCACTTTAGCTACTGCATGCCGTGATTACAGAGCTCCTTTCCGTGGCGTTTTCAGATTCGAAGTACAAATTTCAAACTTGTGGATTTGGATTTTTCTCCCCAAACTCTGTACTTGGAAAGATTTTAAACCCACTAAAATTCGGAAGGAGTGGTCACTTAATACCCTTATATTATTCCCCCAGATTTACCAGTTGTTAATATTTGCCACATTTGTGGGCGCCTGAGTGGCTCAGGCAGTTGAGCTTCAGACTCTTGATTATGGCTCAAGTCATGATCCCAGGAGTCGTGGGATTGAGCCCCATGTTTGATCCTGCACTGAGCATGGACCCTGCTTGAGATTCTCTCCCTCCCTCCCTCTGCCTTTTTCCACTGCTTGAGTGCTCTTTTCTCTAAGCAAACAAACAAAAACCACCTGGAAAAAAAAAAAACTTAAAAACAATAAAAAAAATATTTGCCACATTTGCTGTTATTTTTCTTCCTTCTCCTCCCCTCTTTATCTCTTTTTGCTGAAATCCTCTTAAATTGCAGGCATCATGATACTTCACTCCTAAATATGCCAGTGCTGGAACTAGGTAGGACCTACTATGTGACAATATATTATATTAGTACAGTTAAGAAATTTAGTATCTATGTAATTATGGCATTTAACACACAGCACAGAGTCCATATTTAAAGTTTCCCAGTAATTAATTATCCTAGGAATGTCCTGCATAGCTCTGTGTTTGTGAATAATATGGAGGAACCCCTTGTTTTTTAAAGAAAAAAAAATTCTATTATTGTTGATTCCTGATTTGCCTACGCTTAGGTCCATAGGAACATGACCTACATGATGTTGGTTTTTTGGAATTTGTTGATGATTGCTTAGTGACTTTAGTACATGGCCATTTTTTATATCAAGTTTGTTAATTTAGTTCAGATCTTCTATGGTCTTAGTCATTTTCCCCTTGATAAATCATTTTATGATAGAGCTACTGGTTTGGTTGATTTCTCCTTGAAATCATCAGTTATGCTTCATCTGTGTCAAAATGATAATAAAAGATACATAGTGACACTTAGGAAAAAAGACAGAATTTCCAAACAAAGGAATAGGAAAGGCCAGTTTCTAAAAGTGGAATGAACAGTTACAGAAAACTCTCAAACTCAACATTTTCTCCAGGAAGCTAAAGTACCATTTGTATAAGAAAAAGTTTCCGTTGAGACATGCTTCTCAGCTTTCTATTCCTTTGGAAGAGTATATATAAAAACGAGTAAAAGGGCGCCTGGGTTGCTCAGTCAGTTAAGCCTCTGACTTTTTATTTCAGCCCAGGTCATGATCTTATGGTTCATGATTTCGAACACCACATCAGGCTCTGCGCTCAGCACAGAGCCTCCTTGGGAATCTGTCTGCTCTCTCTGTCCTTCCCAACTGGCTCACCATCTCACTCTCAAAATAGAATAAAAATAGACTTTAAAAAAATGAGTGTGCATTTTAAGCAAAATATATCGTTTGGACATTTTAAAGATTGGTAAGGCACCCTGAGCGGGCTGCCTTTGAGAAGGAAATAGAGCCATATTGCTCTGTGGAGAGTTTCTGAGTCACTCCATGGAGATGGGCCTTGACTAGCTGATATCTTGAGGCCTTGTTAATGCTGTTAGAGTTTGGTGTAGAGAAGATCTTCTTTATAAGACATTTTCAGGTCATTAGTCTTAACTTTGATTTGCTTGATCAGTGATTTGTTCTGCTTCCTTAAATTTCTAAAAATACTGACTGTGGTTTTATTCTGGATCTTGGGGTTACACGTTAATGCCAGAACAGGTGACAACTGCATTAAGCACCTTTCACTTTATATCCCATTCCGCCTGCTTTTTCTTCTCCCTACATGGGGACCACTAGGGTTACTGGACACAGACCGTGCTGTGTGTGCAGTGTGAGTTTGCTGCGTTGCTGATTCCCACGTGTGACTAGGAACCTTGTTAAAGTGTGTAGTCATCCTAAATGATAGTCACTGGGGATGGGGACCTGGTCCTGATGCACCTGAGCTGTACCTGCAGTCCAAGGACTGATGGGTACACAGCGAGAGCAATGCCCATGTAGCCATTCCTTTCTTGGTGCTTGTTCTAAACCCAAGGAGATTCAGAGTCTGTTGATCAAATCCCCCCCCCCCCTTTTTTTTCCCATTGCCCTCAGACTTTCACAGGTTAATGAAAAGTCCCAGGAAATTTCCACCTTTAGCCCTTTGGGTAGTCCTGGAGTAGGACTGATTTCTAAGAAGATGCCTGGGTTTAAAGCTTTGGAACCAATGCAGGATTGGTGAATAATAGTCTTCCTCAGCACCTTTGTAATCTTTTGAGAAGCATAGGCCTGCTTTGTTTTTGACAAGCCACTTATTTTATAAAAATATAAGCCAAGCTAACTTCCTGCTGACAATTTGCCGTTGGACATAACTGGACAAGAAGAATGGAGGAAAAGTGTGGCTTTTGTGAACTTTACCTTTATTACCTGTCATAGACTCTAAAGACTTGTATTTCCTGGGAAACCGTTTTAATTCTGTTCCACTGGTGAACATCATCAAAGATAAACGCTCATCGACTGCCTTCTGGATACAAGCTGAGAACCACCATTCATGGGGTGGGGTGTACACAGTATATGCTATTCCGCTGTTGTGTTATCTGAGCACTTAGACTGTGGACTCGGTTGTACGGTGGTTTCTTGCATACTTGGGGGAGGGAAAGCAAAGATGTTGAGTCACCAAGTTGGTGACTGCCACCAACCATGGCACCCATTTTTCCCCATCAATGTGTGTCCCTGATATGTGGGAGCGCTGGCGTGGGACTTGGGTTGCAGGCAGAGGGGAGCAGACTCTTGGTGCTCACAGCTGAGTAAGGGAACCTCAGGTTACTACTACTCGGTGAATAGGGAGCGTTAACTCTGGGGGTGCCGCTGCTGTCTGTGTCGTCTGAACACCCCAGAGGACATTAAATAGCACAGGGGTTCAGAGAAGGAAGGGACCACTGTCGGCTTTGTAGAGACTAGATGGGATAGGCTTGACTCACAGGCTAAGGGAGAGGGGCAGGGTGTTCTAGATTTGGGAGAAGGTGGGGACACTGGAGAAGGAAGAATGGAGGAGGAAAACAGGTTTGTTTGGTCTGAAATGGAGACAGAGCTGCAAAAGTTGATTGAAGCCAGACTATGGACCCTGCTGAGTCCGAAATTTTAGGCCCAGGTGGTAAAATGTAACATGTAGTTGGGTCTCCTCCTATCCAGAGCTCCTGAGAAATGAGAGTGAATGTCAGCCTGTTGTTCAGGACTCCATAATGGATTTGGCCTAACCACTGTATTCATCTAGGGTTTTTTGTATTACATAAAATTGATATTGGTTGGAGTAACTAGAAATATTATGTTGGCAGTCCAAGGACATTTATTGTTGTTATGCCTTATACCATTTGCACAGATGTTTGGTATAAATACCACATGATACCTACAGGAAGAATGCCCTCCACAGATAAAAATCCAAATGATTAAAATAGCCTCTATTTGTTTTCTGGAAATAAAATCTTCCAACCCTCTCTGAGGGTTAGAAAATACTCACTTCACTTTCATGGTCTATTTATTGACTTGAGGTTCAACTTGGTGCAGTCTCTGGGAAGGATCTCCTTAATTCTCAGAGGAGAAGCTGATTTGACACCCAAAGAAATAGTATCTTCACCCTGTGTCCGTCCATATGGGTGCTGGGATGCTGGCTGTGAAGTTTTCTCGCCGTGCGGAGCCAAGGGACTACAGAACAGTTGGGTGTTTAGCTCCTGAGCAGAAGTGGTGGTGTGTTGGTGCCATCGCGCCCGATGCTTTCCTTCCAGCCCCAGGTTAGCTTCCGGTAGCGAAGCCACTCCAGGCACCGCGGGTGTGCTGGTCCATGTGTCCTCATTCATTGTGCTGCGCTGAGCTAGCTGGGGCCACAGACTGATGAAGTCAGATATTCTTGCCAAGCTGGGGGGAGAATTGCTCTTACTTATTAACAGGAAAAACAAGACCTGATGTTCTTGGAAGGTGTTATATTTGATCCTTGGCAAATGGTTTTTCTTAATCTTTTGAACAGGAGATATATTTATGTGTATCTAAAACTATAAAATGGTATGTGATTAAAAGTCTTCTTTATTTCCCTGAGCCCCAGCCGTCCAACCCCCACATGCATACATGTGAAACCATGTTTTATTAAGGTCTTCCTATCATTGTTATACATACAAATAGGGATGTGTAGTTTCACTTTCCCCTCTTCCACAGACACGTTATATACGTTGGTCAGTGCTCCTGAGAGAATTTCCCTCCATTGCCTGAGTCTTCCAATAAAGAAACAAAATAGGTTCAATAAAGTTGCACTGATTAATTTTATAGACAGTGATGTTTTGGACTGATGGGGAAAGCTCTGCTTGGAATTGACTACCAAAAATAATAGTGTAGTTTCTGATGAGGGTTTATGATGACTTTAATGAACCTGGATTTGTAAATGCTACTCTGCATCTTAGAAATTGAAATTTTGAAAACACTCACAGTGGGTGTTCCTTTGGACTATTAGTAATGAGAATTCTTCCATATGTCCTTTTTGCCTGGAATCATTTTCAGTACCTGTCACTCTTCTTTTTTTCCTCCAGCATCTCATGCCCCTGCTCCTCTCCCAAGTCTCTCATCATCTCCAAGGGCTATAGCAGTCACTTTCCTCCTGTTTCTTTCATGAGCAGATGGACTGTGTTGCCACTTACCACATGGGCCAATGAAGTGCTTCAAGTCCTGCTCTTCACTTGGCTCTCTGCAGCACGCTGTACTGCTGCGGTGGCTGGCCTTAGTTTGTTTGAAGTGTAGTAAGAATTTGAGGACAGTTGGACAGCTTGGACTTCATTTCTGTAATAATGTATTCATGGGTGTTGAAGTCCTGGAGTATTAAACAAGTTTTTAAAAGATCCACGTTGACTTAAATGTTTCTCTTCCTTGGAATTCCGTTTTTTTTTTTTCTCCTTAACAGAGACTGAGGTATTAGACCCTTGTCTTTGGTCTTTGTCCCCATTTGTTCCAGATCAGATGGTAAAAATTCCTGGGATTCTTTAGTGACTTAAGTACTAAGTTTACAGGGAATGGCGACCAATGTTTGCGATGACAAAATATGATGAGACTAAATTAACTTTCTGTTTTCTGAAACCTGTTTCAGCAACTATACCAGATCCTGACAGACTTTGATATCCGGTTTTATATGTATGAGCTACTGAAGGTAAGTGGCATTCATAATAAGCAGTAGATTCTTTCAGGTGTATTCGTTAAAAGAGAAGTTTTTGAGAAGACAAAGAGATCTCAGACAGACTCTTGACACTTAGACAATTTAGTGAAGTTAGAGTTTTGTTGTTGTTGTTTTAACTTCACTTAGATCTCTGTTGCAGGATCTTTACATAGAAGCTTTCTCAGTGGGACTGAGAAGGATGGCCAAGTCAAGAGATACTGGGGACATTATACCAGAAATCAGAACCACTTGTGTAGCTTCTGCTGGCCCTTGGATTTTCTTTTTGCTGCTTAATTAATACTATTGTTTTTCACTGAATAACAAATCACCCCAAAGCTAATGATTTTAATAATTTTTTTTATTATTTCTCATAATTCTGTGGGCTAGCTGGGTGAGTCTTTTGGTCTGGGTCAACTTGGCTGAAGCACGTTGGTCCAGAATGGCCTAGTTCACATATCTGGCAGAGCTCAAGGCTTGTCCTCCAGGGGGTTAGTCTAGGCTGCTGCTTCCCACAGTGGTCGCTGGCTTCTTAAAAGCATGAGAGGGCAAACTTTGATGTGTAAGCATTTCTCAAGCGTCTGCTGGTATAAATGTCTACTAAGTGACCTAGTGGCCAAAGCAGGTCATGGGCCAGGCCCAGATTCAGAGGGTGGCGAAGTAGACTTTTTGATGAGAGAACATTGAACAAGTCCCAGTGTGGAGGGACATGCGTAATGGGTTGGTAGGCATTTTCAGCCTTCTTTCTCTTGCCACCTCTCATAATCCCCTTCCCAACCTCCCCTTTGGCCCTGACTGACCTTGACATGCAAGGAGAGGTGATGGAGGATTGGTCTTTCTAGGAGACTTAGCAATCCCAAGATGGAAATTTTGAAACATTATTGGTTGGTGGAGAAATGATCTTTTTTAACTTGTCTAGGTAAACACATAGGTAAAGACTTCTAAAAAGGCTTGTAAAATGGGGTAGATGAATGGTTCCTAAGTTGTTTTGGGTCATGGATCACTAAGAATCCAATGAAAACATATAAAACCCCTCCAAAATGCCTGTGTAAATATATAATATTATCTAAAGTTTTATGGGGGGGTGTAGTTCTTAATTCAAGAACCTCTGGAAGAGTAGAGATGACTAAGTTATTGAAGAAAACTGTCAAGATTGAATTTTGATGGGATTGTGAACAGTTGCTTGAACAAAATCCCAAATTAAGGCTAAGCTTTAGGGAATGGGGGTTTGAAGAACTGGCTCTGTGAAGTGAATGTGTTTCCTTACAAGCATTTGCACAAACCACATGTCATTGGTACCAAGGTGGTGGATTTAGGTTGGTCTTTCTTTTGTCAGGAAGATCAGAAACACGTGAGGGTAGAGCTTGGTGTACCACACAGTTGTCCGTGTCCTCTGCAGACCAGAACTGAAGGCCTTGGTGAGGAAGCGGTTTGCAGTGCTGTGGTCTTGTGAGCTTCCAGGCTAGCTCCTTTCCCGGAGGCTCTTTCCGGAGAACCCCATGCAGTCCCTCGATGAGAGCTATGATCCAGATCTGTCACTTGGTTATTTTTTTCAGTAAGGTGTTAAGATTTTGTGGTTTTCACTTAGTGCACACCAAAGGTGAAGATTTAGAACCCAGCACAGTTGTCCTTAGATCGGGTAGAGACATCCTGTCTTCGCAGCCTGGTGACTCAGATGGTACCCTGTGTCAGATGTCCCTTCTGCTTTCTGGAGGTAGCTAGGCAGTAAGGGCTTGCTTTCTGCTAATGAGGCACAGAACCCCAGATGAAGCTTGAAAAATGTCTTTCATGCTTAATGGTCAGATAATACCAGATTTTAAAACTGAAATAACTCCCCCAAGGAATTTAAAAGTATATCCGTAACTCCACAGAGAATCTGACTAGTGAACTTGGCTAAAGAATTAATTCTTTTACTGTACTTGTTCATCCTTGGCTTTCCTCAGATATTTCTTCACATCCCAAGTATTATGGTCCTAATTAGTTCATTCCTTTGGGCGAAGACTAGGCAAAATAACAGAATCAGCACTTGCTAAATTTTGTCTTTGGGGGAAGAAATGGGGAGGAAGTAGGGGAAATATTTAGCTTCTACTGAAAATGGAAGAAACTGAGGTGGAGGGCTATTGAATGGTTGCTGGGTACACAGTGTGGTCCCCTGGTTCAGATCCAGGGAAGTCTGTCCTCAGGAGCCCTGGTTTCATAAGACATCGCCACAAAGCCACTGTGGAATCTTGCAACAACTGTTGTGAAACGAAACAAAGGAAAAAATTAAATTGAAGTAGAACTTCCATAAATGAACAAATCTTAAGTGTACAGGTTTTTGGATTTCCTGTAAGTAAAAACCTTCACCATACATGCTACTATGCTGTTCAGTATATAGTAGCTTTTGCCCACAGGTAGCTACTTAAATTTTAACTAAAATTCATAGTTCCATTGCTTAATCACAGTAGCCACATTTCATGTATTCAGTGGCCTCATGTGGCTGGTAGTTGCCATGTTGGGCTGTGCAGACATCTAGAATATTTCTGTCACTGCAGAAAGTTCTGTTAGGGCAGGTCAAGAATATTATACGTAAGTGAAAAGGCTCTCATATGCCCCTTCTCTTCAGGATCCCCTCCTCTGAAGATAATGTCCTCACTTCTACCACCAAGTTTAGTTTTGCCTGTTTTTAACCTTCATTTAAAAAAACATCCTCTGTGTCTGGGGAAAGCAGGATTTGCTTGTTCCCAGCATATGGATCCTAGGGATCATTTTCTGACTTACACATTCTCTCCCATGTAAAAATGCCTAATCCGGTGCTTCACAACCAGGTCAGTTTGGCAATATGTGGAACCATTTTTGGTTGTCACAGTTTGGAGGAGTGCTGCTGGCATCTGGTCAGAAGAGCCCGAGAAGTCTCATAAACGTTCTGCTCTGCACAGGACAGCTCCCTGTGACCAGGAATCCCTGGCCCAACACGTCAGCGGTGCTGAGATTGAGAAACCCTAATCGTGTCCCATGGAAAACGCTACCAAAAGCACTCAGTGTCAAGCACGTAGTAGGTACCACAAGATGATGGATTGCTGCGATTATTGTTACTCAGGGAGTAACGCTCGAGTAGGCTACAGTGCTTTTTGAGACAAGCCAAAGTGCCTAATTTGAAATTTATGAAAATAGTCACTATGTTAGAAAAGGAGATTTAGAAGCAAATTTTTGCATTATTGAACCCAAAAAACAAACTGCCTGAAGAAAAAATAGGCAAAAGATTTGAATCAACATTTGTCCAGAGAAAATAGAGAATGACAAGTAACACCTGAAAAAATGTTCAACTTGGATTACTAAGAGAATACAATTCAAATCCACGATGAGATCCCCCTTCAAACCTGTCAGAATGGTGGTAATTACAAAGATTAACCAATGACCAGCGCTGGCAAGGATGTGGAGAAACTGGAGCCTTCGTACATTATTGATGGGAATGTAAAATGGAGCGGGCATTTGGAAAGACATTCGGGAGATTCTTAAAAAGTTTGATATAAACTACCATACAGCTCAGCACTTCCACCCCCAGGAATCTATGTGAAAGGAATAAAAGCCTTTGCTCAGAGACCTGTGTGTGAGTGTTCATAATAGCTGACAATTGGAAATAGCTCTGGTGTCCAACTCGTGCGCCCATCGAGTGGAATACCACTCAACAAGAAGAAAGTAATGGAAGAATCTCAGCAACATGCCGAGCAAAAGAAGATGGACAGAGTGCTGAATGTTGTATTTTTTGCTTCATGTCCAGAAAAGACAAATCTGTAGTAAACAGAGGTTTGTACTTAAGGCTGAGGTAGGAGGTAAATGGGAATGTGGCTTGATCACAGGCAAGCTAAAGGGAAAGTCTTAGGAAGACAGTAAAGACTGGATTATGGTAAATGGTTGTACGACCCTATAAAGGTGCTAAAAAAAAAAAAAAAAAGTGTTGTACACTTAAAAATCTTGCCTGCATATCCTTGATCTTTTAGGAAGCAGTATCCTCCCTTATAGTAAAAACATAATGTTTCTTTTTCAAATTTTTAAAATGCTTCACACACCATCAGATCATGATCTGAGTCAAAGTCGGATGCTTAACCTGATTAACCCAGGCACTCCCAGTATATAACTCTTAAAGGCCAACAGGCTCAGGGATTGCTTTTAAATTATTTTTTTATGTTTATTTTTGAGAGAGAGTGTGTGCGAGTGAGCAAGCAGGGGAGGGGCAGAAAGAGGAGACATCTCAAAGCGGGCTCCAGGCTCGGAGCTGTCAGCACAGAGCCCGATGCGGGGCTCAAACCCACGAACCGTGTGATCATGACCTGAATGACCTGAACAGAAGAGAAGTCAACACTTAACCAACTGAGCCCCCCAGGCACCCCTCGGGGATTATTTTTAAAGGAAAATACTAATACTAGAATACTTGTTAATCTTAAAAGTCCACATGGGACACTTGTCTAAAATACAAGCCACATCGAACAGTATGTTTAGATATTCTTTTTCCTGTCCACAGTGACTCTTATGTGGCATTTGAACCCCCTTTGAGAAGTGACTCTAGTGGGTTTCCCAGATCTGGTTTTAAACCTGTTGAACTAGACCAACAGACTGATGTATGATTTCTAAATCTAGGTGGCTGGTGAAGTGTTACCAACTGCCAGTAGGAGGAGTGTCCAGAGCGTCTCTGTCTCCTCTTTAACATAACCCCCTCTCCACCAGCTGCCAGCATAGTGGGCAGAGAGCAAGGGATGCCTTCTGACCACGTTCATTCTCGTTACGGACCACAAGCTGCACTTTCGGAGATACTCAAGTCAGACTATCACAAATACAAATATGCTTGCATCAGGGGTTGGTAGACGGCTTGCTTACTCTTCTCTGTGCTTTCTTATCTAATAGGCTCTGGATTACTGCCACAGCAAGGGAATCATGCACAGGGATGTGAAACCTCACAATGTCATGATAGATCACCAACAGAAAAAGGTACCATCGCGGCCAACAGCAACAAGTCTTTCCTTGGAAGGCTTAGGGCACACCAGAAAGCCAGCCAGTACTGAGGTGGTACTGGAGACCCATGCTGTTTCCTTGTGTTACCATTACTTCTGAGTCTCCAGGCAGAAGTATAGTACACGAGGAAAGTAGACAGCTGAATCTAACTATAGTCCCTTGTTTATTTTGGTCATGGTTTTCTGGAGGGCCTCACAAACTACAGCTCATGGTTTCTCCTTCTTTTAATGACTCTCAGACCAATCTGCCTAGCCTTAAAAGTACAGTTCTGGTTGTCCCTGATTGGTGAGTAAATGAACCAGTTACTCAGATTAACGAAAACCTGGAGCAGTGCATCGATCCTGGACTGGGATGTACATCCCTGACCTTTCCGTTGTGGTTAGAGCTTACAACGGAAGCTATTAATGATGGGGGAATGTGTTACACATGCAAGCGCTGTGGAGGCAGAAAGAAAAGCTTAATCTTTATTCATCTAAAGAGAATGAGAAGTCCAGGATAATTTATACTTTGAAAAAGAAAAAGCACATAAGATTCTGAGTGCTCTGCTGTAGAAATGACCTCTCCCACAGCTACCCAAAGTGTAATTTTTGCCAGCGTGCTTGCTGACATTTTTCACGTGGCCCACGTAATCGTTAGCCAGTATGACGTGGCCTTGTTCTAAGGCACAGGCGTCTAGAACTCCGCTGCTTTATACGTTCGATTTCTGTCATGTTTGTAGCTGCGACTGATAGACTGGGGCCTGGCAGAGTTCTACCACCCTGCTCAGGAGTACAACGTCCGTGTAGCCTCGAGGTACTTCAAGGGCCCGGAGCTGCTCGTGGACTATCAGGTAAAACTGTTAGCCACGCACCTGTGCATTCAGGGTGTGTTGCCTTAGTGCTTCTCCTCATTTGCTGTTTATTGAGTCAGTTGGGATACAGTCAAAACCCCATCCTGAAGTGATAATTTCAGATTTTTCTCAATGATTTTTTTTTTCACTTTGACTTGTAAAATATGTGCAAAGGTCAACCTGAAGACTAGAAATTCAGATCTGAAAAATGCGTTAGTAACACCCTTCACTGACAGGCCAACCTTACTTTCCTCAGATGTATGATTACAGCTTGGACATGTGGAGTTTGGGCTGTATGTTAGCAAGCATGATCTTTCGAAAGGAGCCCTTCTTCCACGGACAGGACAACTACGACCAGGTGAGCAAACACTAGCCCCTCCCTGTGTGGGAGCAGGTGCCGAGAAAATAGAGTCCTTTGACAGGGATGCTACCCTTAAGCCACCAAGTATCGTTGAATGTCTGCGCATAAGTTTTCCTTCAGGGTAAAGAGTTTCATGAAATGCTCTCTGTGGTTATTGGTCCCCAAACATACAGATGAAGCAATATTACACCCAGCTTCCCAAGTGAGTCTGTGGAGCAGACACTCCTTGTCTTAATAAAACCAGATTCCAGTCCTTAGATGATGCCCTCATAATCGTCAGCTTCTAGGCTATTGTCATAAGGTGTCATTTTAAAGGCAGTTTAGAAATACGCTTTCTGTGAACATTGTGTCCTTGGGTCTGCCGCCTGTCAGCCCCAGGCTCCAGTCTGTGTCTGGCCCCTGGAGATGTAGTGACGTGGAAGTCCCCTAGTTCCTTGGGATAGCACCTCGCTGGCTTGCAGTGAGCCCTGTGCTCAGTGATTTGGTCAGTTTGTTTTGTGTTTCAGCTTGTTCGCATTGCCAAGGTTCTGGGTACAGATGAGCTGTATGGGTATCTGAAGAAGTATCACATAGACCTAGACCCGCACTTCAACGATATCCTGGGACAGTAAGTAAGAGAGAGGGAGAGAGAACAATGAGGGTTTTAACTTACCCCATTTCAGAAGTGGGAATGTTCACTGAAACCTCTGGCTAATCATAGCAAAACTGAAATATATTTATTTATTCCCATGTGTATTTTTTTAACTTGTCTTTTGAGTGCTCTTTGGGCATTGTTTACATGTGTCTTTTGATCGTCGTACTTCTCCGAGAGATAGTCTGTCAATCAGTAAAAAATTGAAGGCAAAATCCTATTACAGAAACCCGCTTTCTGGTACAGCATATGCTTATTTTAGATAGCTGTGATTCTTCTATGAGTGAGAGAGTTATAATTTTTTCTTACTCGGTATAATGGATTTTCTATAAGATAGCAAATTTGAAAGCCTATTTTCAGGTACAGTGCAGTAGCGTTGAAAAGTAAATGTACTGACAGTTTTCAAACAGTGTTTGTTGGAACCTCTCTGTTTCTGAGGCTAGCTCTCTAAATATTTCTCCTGAACAACAAAAAATAACTGTCACCTCTGCCTCACCAGAATTGACTAAAAGCTTGAGGCATAAAAAACGATCTAGAAAGGTGCCACAAACACTAAATCAGATGTAGAAATTAGAGCTAATTTTATTTATCAGTCACAGAGCACAGTTTTTATTTCAGTATACTGCGAGTGTACCTGTTGGGGGGGTGGGGGGCAGGTACCAGTGAGTGAGGTTTCTCGAGATTGGAATCAGTGCATTAGTCTAAGATGTTGTTGCCTTTAGCCCTAATACATCAGGGTCCATGCTTAAGTTCAGAATGCTGTTGCTTCCCTTTTCTTCTCAGACATTCACGGAAACGCTGGGAAAACTTTATCCATAGTGAGAACAGACATCTCGTCAGCCCCGAGGCCCTAGATCTTCTGGACAAACTTCTGCGATACGACCATCAACAGAGACTGACTGCCAAAGAGGCCATGGAGCACCCGTACTTCTGTGAGTCTCCAGGGACTGTTTTCAGGGGCATAACTTACTGAAGGAAAAATACTTCCTCTCTTTATCTTTGAGATCAGTCAAGAGAATTGTAGGTACTTGTATTGAATCATCCTTAGAATTTGGCCTCATTAGTTCTAGACTGTTGAGACACCTTTGCAGTTGAACTGCAGAGAGGTTTGCTTGTTCACTGCCTTAGCTCCCTTGAGTCCCGACTGCAGACCGATCCCTTACAGATCACAAGTATCTAAAATTTGTTTTCAAGTGTATGTATTTGTATGGAAACCTAACCAGAGGTATTCTTCCCCTCAAAAAACCAAGTAGTTAGTTAAAAGTGAGAAGGTGACTCTAGTATATTTGCAAAGAAGGAAGTGAGTTAAATAAATAAAAGGAATTTGAGGAAAGGAAAGCAGGTATGCAAGGACCTCACTAAAATCCCACCTGCATTAAAGAATTTTTAGGTCTCAGTTCAAAATATGTGTGTGTATGTATTCACTGCATGTGGTCGCTTACTGTCTGTGTACATATAGTCCTCCCCACCCCCCCACCCCTCTCCCCTTTCTTGGTGGCAACGTGAGATGATTTAGTCCAGGGCACATAGGAGACTGGAGTTAAAGGTTACGGTACCCATCTCTGTTGACGCTGAATCGAGAAGACCTTCAGCCTGTTGCTTGGCCAGTATGCTATCTTCCCTCATCCCCTCCACAGCCCAAAGGTTCTATCCTTCAGTCTTCTAGACATCAGACAAGTGCAACTCAGATGTCCTCTTTCCAGTTTCTGGCACAGCAAGCTGTTTTTACCCTTTTGAGTTAGATCAAACTAAGAATTCCAGTGTTTTATAGTAAGTAATTCATGATTCATCTACTTTTCTGAATACACAGCTCGGTTAAAAAAAAAATGTTTCAAATAACTGTTGCTTAAAATTAATAGGTTTTCTAATGGCTCTTTTCATTCTCCTGCTGCTCCAAAGTGCTCATTAGTGCACATAATTTGAAGAAATTGGGGGTTGGATATGACAGTATTCAAGGAAAAGAACACACAGGAAAATCAGTAGTAATTTTGAACAGTGGGAAGTTAGTGTTTCTGGGCGTCTTTTTTCCATGGGCCTCAGAGATTGAACTTGCCTTTTGAGGGAAGTCTGAGAGTTCACTATAGGAGCAAATTCCCCTGATCATTTTTCGAGGTCTGATTTTTCTATAACCTTTGTTCTGTCATTTGTTTTCATATTTTAACGTTTTAAAGAAATTTATTAGTGTGAGTGGAGGGAGGGACACCGGGAGGGGGGAGAGAGAATCCTAAGCAGGCTCCACACTGTCAGTGCAGTGCCCAACACGGGGCTCAAACTCAACGAAACTGTGAGATCATGACCTGAGCTGAAACCGAGAGTCAGAGGCTTAACCATCTGAGCCACCCACACTCCCCTAGCTCTGTGATTTCCGTTGCCCTTCTGACTCTGTCTTTCCCACCAGTCTGTCTCTCTGTCTCCCTGTGGAAGGGGGTCTGTCATGATGGTGTGTCCCACATGTAGCAGGCCTGATTGAGCTGACTTGCGTCCTGTTTCCTTGCAGACCCCGTGGTGAAGGAGCAGTCCCAGCCTTGTGCGGACAACGCTGTGCTTTCCAGTGGCCTCACGGCAGCCCGATGAAGACTGGGAGGCGACGGGTAATGCGGCATTGATGCTTGCCAATAAAACCAACAAGCAAACACAAATCTTGAAGGAAACTACAATGTGATAAAAAGAAGTTCTAGTCATTCCTTCTAAATGCAAAGAAGAGTAAAGACCTAAATGTCAAAAAAAAAAAAAAAAAAAAAAAAAAANAAAAAAAAAAAAAAAAAAAAAAAAAAAAAAAAAAAAAAAAAAAAAAAAAAAAAAAAAAAAAAAAAAAAAAAAAAAAAAAAAAAAAAAAGAAATTCCCCAGTCCTAGTTACTGCAGGGAGCCGCCGTTCTGATAGTGTGACGATGCACATAGTTCAGGACCTGAGGGGACGCTCCCTTTGGAATGCATGGGAGATGAGAGACTCGGAGTTGTTGTACATTTACCTTTATTTAACAGGAGACCACTGTTGAATTAACCCGTTCAGTCAACAAGCTCTGAATATCTGACTTCCTATCTATTCCACTGTGGTCTGGGTTTCCTTTGGTGAGATTCAGGCTCAAGTTTTAGCAAAATGTCAGCAATCTATACTGACGCACCAGCCTCATTTACGTAAAGGAGATATTAAAACAGTGACAGTATTTTTTTTTTTAAGCTCTTTTACAAATTCATGTTTTATGTATTTTTTTATGACATGAGCTCTCTAGGAAATGTACCTCATCCCTGCCGTTTTCTTCTAAGTGTCTTCATTTGGGAGCAAACCGCAGTCACTCTCACAAGGGTCCCCTTTGCTGTCAGAAGGCATCACTTTAAACCTTGTGACGCAGTGTCCAGGGCTGTCTGTCTCCTCAGAAGTTCAATGCAAAGTGCATAACTTGGAGCTCACTGTAACCTTTGTTGATTTGCCTAACCATAAAATCTTATTGCTTTTTTTCCGTGTAGCCTTTTTTTTCCTTTTGCAGCCTTGTAAGGAAAGCCTCCCCATTTCCCAGCACATACATCCGTGTGTGTGCGTGCCTATTTTAATGCACCTCTCTGAAACAGACTTTTTGGTCACAACCATAGTGAAACCTGGAAAGTCAGTCTTCAGGCAGGCTGGGGAGGGAGAGAAGCATCCTGTTAAAATGTATTTAGGAAAGACCTGTTGGGTGAGAAAAAGATACTTCCCCCCCCCACCTTTTGGCCTTTTTTTTTTTTTTTTTTTTTTTTTTATCCCCATGAGAAGCAGTTTGCCTCTGTAATCAGGGTGACCTGCGTTTCTGAGCTCCAAGAGGTACCACGTGAATGTGAACAGCCAAGCTGAGTCTTCCTCATGCGCAGGGCCAGGTTGTGTGCGGGGCCAGCCTGCTCCCGGGGACTGAGCAGAGCATCACGCAAGGGGTCTGGGGAGGAAGCTGGAGCTTGTAGAGCAAGTGTCGACGCTTGGGATCCGTGGCGCTAGCCTTCATGTTAGCAAAGGAAGCTAGATTCTGCTTTCAGAAGTTAAAAAAAAAAAAAAAAATAGGGCTGATTTCATCTTGGGGACTTGTCACCAGCCTGGTTTGCAGGCAGTCCCCCCTCACCCCGGCTGCAGAGCCATGCCACAGCTGTGGGGACTTGACAGCTAGGCCAGAACTGGGGGTGTCTACCCACGTCATACTTTAGGATTTCTTTACTAACTATTTAATAATGCCATACATTTTTATAAGGTTAGATTGTGTGTTTGAAGACATCTGTTTACATTCCATATTCCAATAAAATCATATTGGTATTGATAGCAGGTCCTATCTCTACATGTAGATTCTGTTCTTATTGTTTGGTCGGTGGGGATTTAAAATGCAAATAAAACTCTTACTAGAGTTGAGCTCACAGATTAAAACTTAAAAGACCCCAAAGGCAGGAAGTGCGTTCAGTTAAGTTTCACATGCCGATACTGCGCCTTCTGTATACTGACGTGTGCATCTGTTCTACCTGAAAAGCCAAGCTGAGGCGTGAGCTCTTGGCTCAACCTGTGTTGACGCGGTAGGCAGCAGAAGCCTTCTGATGTGCCCCTTGAGGCAGCACTGCTGGTGATTATCAGGGAGATAGATGTACCACTCGGTGTCTTTTTTGCCCCCTACCTCTTGTCCCCCCCTTTGTCACCCATTCTTTCCCCTCCCACCTTTTGTTTTTTTTTTAAGTTGCCTGTCTGGACCAGGCACGGAGAGCGTAGTGGAGGGTCTTGGTGAAGTAGCAACCTGTTCTTCCCCTGGAGTTCCCTTGAGCCAGTGAAAGCCTCTGGAGGTGTATAGTCAGGGATGTGCCCCAGCCTCTCTCTGTTGATGATGACTTAGTAGGTGCAAACATCGCTAACCTGCCTGCCCAGCGGTTCCAACACCAGAACCATTCTTCCTTCTCATGGCCACTCTACTTTTCCACCACCTATGCTCTTCTCTTCCTGCCTTAGCATTGCTGAGTTTCAAATGCCTGCCCCTGAGTCTGGTCTTGACATTTAGTGGGCTGGCTGGCTGACTTTAGGTGGTTCTTTCCCAAACTGAAGTGAGTCCAGTCCAGACCTTTTCTCTTCTTGCCCATCTCCAGAGCCAATCTGTGTCCTGACATACCTAGCTCCCCCAAGATTTCAGAGTGCTTACCTGGGTTAGGAGATGGTCATGGAGAGTTCAGGGCAGGGGGCCAGGGAGGGCAGGAGAGAGAGAGAGAGAGAGAGGGAGAGAGAGAGAGAGAGTGTGTGTGTGTGTGTGCGCGCGCGCAAATAGAAGTCTTTTCTTATGTTTAGACTAAGCCAAGGTAGATTTGCCCACCCGCTATCCTTTTTGATCAGCATGTTATTTCTTAAATTCATCTCAGTACTTTTTATTAGGCATCTTGTTCGCTTTGTTACCTTATAACAGGTTAAAGTGCCTATGATAAGGACTTAGTTATTTCCTAAAGAAAAGCAAAAAACGTGGGGAACAGGGTAGTGTTACACTATCATCTCAGGTACTGCCTGTGTTCGACAACATAGGCCTGGTGTGGTGAGAAGAGAAAGTTCCTATGCCAAACACCGATCGGTCTGTCAGTGCCAATTGGCCACAAGTGAGCATAAGCGCGAGGCTTTGCTTCAGCTGACAAGTCCCATGGCGAGAGCAGAACTGAAACACCAAGTGATATTTTCATCTGTAGTTTGCTCTCCCCTGGATCATATCAGCTGCCTGCTCTCTTCCTGTCCCTGTGGGAGGTGACTAGGTGGGAGAAGCCAAGTGGACACTGCAGACCAGCACTCCTCGGGTGTCTCACCAGCTAGAGTGGTGCCATTGGCGGCTCTCAGAGGCGCCTAAATACTGGCCGCTGTGCCAGGTCTAACAGACATTCTCTAGCACATTGCCGCTCACAGGGCTGAAAGCTAGTGCGTTCCCTTGCGGAGAAGGAAGGGACTCAGACTGCTTGGATGGAGGAGACGGAAGAGCTTGTAATCCTTAGGGGCTCGGGGAGGAGGTGGTCAAAGGAAAGGGAACCAGTAAGAAGAACAGTCAAGGGGTAGGTCTTGAGGAGGGAACGCGACCTTCTGAGAGTGTCAGGGGGCACCACCTTCATGGGGTGGGATGTGCCCTGTGATGGGCACTGCCCCCTGGAGTGGTCCAGCGTGGCTGGAGGGTGGTTCCCTCAGGCAGCTGCCGAGTCCCAGGGAGAGCTGGTGGCCGTGGCCTCGGTCCGCACCCACTCAGGGAAATGACTTAGGTTCTCCCAGGTGCTGCATTGAGGATGGAAGCAAAACTGTTTTGGAACACAGGCAGCAACTGGAAGAATTTTTATATATGCATTGAAGTGGTTCAAAGCCCACTTAGCAGTTTCCCTTAATGCCAGTTCAGACTGAGCATTTGGTTTAGAAACCTGCATTCCTGCATGAGCACCCGCAGGAGAAAGCAGACTTCCCTCCTACAGATGAATTGGGGTGGATCGGAGTTAATTAAGTTCATTGAAACAGAAACCCTTCCAAAGGCAGAAGCAGGGTGCACAGGAGCACACGAGAAGCCAGAGTTTTTCAACGAGCTTAAGTCTAAGATGGCATAATGTCCTGCTTTTAAAAATTAACCCCAGGGTGGGAGTGGGGGAGGGGAGGTGGCGGCAAAACATCTGGCTGAGAAAACCGTTAATAACATGACACTTTTGAGCTCTATGGGTGTGTTCATGGAAACGACAACAGGCAGGTGTTGTGGAGGCTGGGGGACGTGACGGGATGGGTTACACAGCTGATGCCATGAGTACTTTTGTGTAGACACTCAACAATGTGCTACAGATGTGATACGTAATCCTGAACTGCATGTATTGGGGATTGTTTGGAAAAAAAAAACTTTCATTGAATCAATAAATTAACAGTTTTGCACTTGCTGGCTTTTCTTGCTGTAAATGGTGACTAAGAGGTTGGGACAGACATCTGGACACCCCGGTGGAAAGCTTGGATAAATCTTCAAGAACCGTGGAGCCAACCATTTCCTTCTGTATGCAGAAGAGCAAGACTGCCTGGGTTGTGATCCCTTGCAAATGACCACTTCAGACACACTTGGCTACCTCTTTGTATCACTGGATGACCAATGTCTGATTGATGTGCTGCTGCCCTTAGAGGAAAGACAAGTGCCATGTTAAATCTCGTTTTCATAATAAAAATGTTGATAACCACCAGCTTCTCAAGCGGGAGACAAGCCACTGCTATGAGGCCCTTAAACTTGTATTTCCTGTCTCTTGGGGGAGAGGAGGGGCAGACCTTGAACTGGAATGATGCGTGTTACGGGGGTTGCAGTTAATCACCACCTTCGTGTGGAGCTGTCCTTTATCAAGAGAGATGGGACTAGAGTGGTGTCTTGTGGGGCTTGTGCTGTTTCTTGGTACTTGCTCCGGAATCACCCTCCTCAGGCACCTGCTTCCGGGATTGGCCCGCTGTAGTGCACAGCTCTAACCTTTGTGGCTGAGCGTTGTGCATCTATGAACACCCCCCTACCCCCTGTCCTTGCATCAAGAGCAGGCACACGCTATCGTGTGTCTGCATTTGTCAGGTGGTGGTGTCTGATTAGTGCGCTTCTCATTGATGGGATCCTCGGTGGGGGTGGACGCTTGCAAATCAGTCACTGCGGTGCTTAAAGGCAAATAGTCCTTTCTTGAACCTCACACACCTCGCGGCCTTTTTCAAAAACGTAGAACCCTTCCTTTACCCAGAGAAAGTTCTCATCAAGTGATGTTTCTGTGACAGCTTCTCCGGGGCACAGTCCTTTGTCTCGTCGCTGTAGTGCCGATCTCTGAGACACTGCTTCTAGAATTCTGCCGGCATCTTACCACCCACTTCATTGTGTTGGACGTGGAAGGGAAAATGGGGTTTTCAGGCCATGCCACACAGCTGCTCCCAGGGGAGAGTTAAAAATATTTGAGCTCCCTTCTTGCTCTTTATTAGTGGACTAGGTACTCTCCTTGTGTAAATACAGCCCCCTGATTATGAGTCCTGAGACATCCTCGGTAGGTGGGGCCAGGGCTGATGGGGATGCAGAGTTGGACTATTGATCCTATCGCTCAGCTTGCTCAGAATGGTCGAGAAGCCTCAGTGCTTCTAAATCCACATTTGGGACCCAAGAGGCAGGGAGGAGACTCGGGCGCGTGTCCAGAGCTTTCCCCTCGCCCTCCTGGAAGGCCACGCCTGAGACCGCCTCTGCTAGTGGTGATCACAAGAGGAAGGAAGAGGGTATTACTCGAAACCCAAGACCGTAAAGTTAGTTCTTACGAGGTTTTCCACACAGTGGCGTGGGACAGTCAAGCTTGCACCCTGTTCCCAGCGCTCTTCGAGAGAAGGAAGCCACAGGCAAGCGGAGGCCTGTTCTCCCTCCGGGTCAGATTGATTAATGCCGTCTTTCCCCTCCTCCCATCTCTTTCCCCAGGTCTGTTGCGGTTCCTCCCACTTTTCCATAAGCAGAACAAGAACCAAATCAAACGTCTTAACGTGTGTAGAGCGATCACGTTCCGTGAGCAGACACAAAATGGTGGCAGGTTTGGCGAGCACGAACCAGACCAACCGAAGGGCAGCCCACCACCGTATTTCAAACCTCACTTCCGAATGTAAAAGGTTCACACGCCTTTGGCTTCCTGTTGACTTCCTCCTGACCCAGAAAGCATGGGAAATGTGAAGGGTATGCAAAATGGTTGTTGGTTACTGTTGCTCCCCCGCGCCCCTTGACTCGGCCTGTGGCCGCCTGTTTTTCCAGCAGACCACGTTAACTGGCCGACCACAGACTCCACAGTGGGGAGCGGGGCAATATACGGCATGACGGGCAGTTACATATTATAATTTTAAAAGTATATATTATTGAATAAAAGGTTTTAAAAGAAATGTATGGAGAGTTTTCAGTGTGGAAGGGGCCGTTAACCAAGACCCGTGGCCACAGAGGACCGAGTGAAATGGAAGAGCAGGTTGTAGCCAGAGGAAAGCAGGGGGAGTCCCAGAGGTGAGGAGGGCCGGTGGTAGGGATGCTCTTGACCAGGGATGGGGAGTTGAACAGGTATGTGAACTAATCGTGGGAATGGGGCAAACCACAGGTGACCAGTAGACTGGGTGAGCCAGGAAAGCCATGTTTCGCCTTGACCCTTCTAACCCAGTGATCAGGCGGTAGACAAACATCATCTCCAGTGACCTCCGGAAGATGCCTTAGCCCTTTCTATGCTTTTGTTTTGCTGGTGTCCCCGTAGTTTATTCCACTTCCCCATCTTGTCCCTCTGCCCCGTGGCCCCTTCTGAAAAAGCATGTTAGCTTGGAGGCTGGTGGAGTCTGCTGTCCTCCCGCAGGGAAGGGGTCTGCGTCAGGTGGCGTTTGGAAACTCCCGTGAGCTGGAAGGAAAAGTGCCCGCTCCGCTGTGAGAGACGGTGCCGTGCAAGCACCGGTTGTAGCTGTTGAGTGAAACAGAGGAAACCTGCTTTACAAATGAGCCTTCCCTGGCGCCCTCGGGCCTGCCCTCCGAGGACAGCTGTGCCATGGGGAGGTGAAGGCAGCCATAACCCAGTGGCCGGCCAGCTTGGCCTCTGGCTGCAGCCCGCGTCCTCCCACAGCCTGTAGAGAGCAGAGGCGACGGGCAGACCCAGACGCCCAGGTGGCTCAGGGGCGCCCACTATTCTCCGCACAAGCCACTTGTTCCCACAACATTCCTTCTTCTGTCTTTGCTGCTTGTCCTGCACAGGTGACTGTGGGAACGCAGGTGTGGACACTCACAGTTTCTGGAGCAATTGTGGGGGGAAAGCAAAGAGGCCCCTCGGGGTCACCACGGCGTCACAGTGGCCCCTGGAGCAGCTTCTGTCGTATCCGAGCAGTTCCACAGGTGTGGGAGCCCGAGACAGTGCCTGCCCCCCCCGCCCCCGGACACCAGCGAGGAGGGCCCGCAGGCCCACCACCGGCAGACTGTAAGGCCGACAGGACACCGAGTGGATGGACTTGGGACTTTCCAGCACCATCACTGGCCTGGTTTTCTCAAGCAGGCACTCTCACGCTGCAGCCCTTTTGACTCAAGGCTCTGCGGATTTCTCTTGGTCTCCCAGGTCTCTGGGACGGCACCTCAGTACCTCATTATAACGAGCCCGTCCCCGAAGATCCTGAAGACATGGTGCTTTGTGCGTACGTGTTTATCTACATCACACGTTACCTCCGTGGTGACCCGCTGGCATCTGAGAGCCTTCCAGGACCAGAAGGGTCTCTTTGGAGGAGATACAGTTGATTGACTTGGGAATTCTTAGATGCCATGCAGAACTCGAATGTTAGCTCCCCATTTACCTTCCCAGCCAAGGCGCTCTCTAACTTCCCAGTGGGAAAGTCTTGTTTTCAAGAAACCTCTCAAGCGTATCCGAAAAGTTTCTTTTTTGTGGATGATTACTATTGGGTGGGAGAGAAGTTGTAGAATGAAGGGAAAGGAGGAGTTTTTGCTTAGGCTTTTTTGACCTTGAGAGAAGGGGACAATGGACCTGCATACTCAAAACCAGTCTTATAACGCTCATCCACAAGGTGCTTGGAAATTCAGAACGTCAGTTCACATCTTTCAAGGGCCCTGCTTGTGTTTAGGTTGTTTAAAGTAATGTTTGAGTTTTCTGATTACCAAAGTAATTATGTGTTCATGGTAAGGAATTCTGAAACCCTTGTCCCAGCATGTGCGTACATGTGCATACACAAACACACACACACATACACACTCTTTCCTCCCTTGGAGGTAACCATGGTTAAATTTGGTGTATATCTTGTGATTTTTTTCCTTTGCATTTACTAACATTTAAAAATCATAAGGATTTTTATTTTTTTACAGAAATGTAACCAAACTTCACATTCTTTTTTTTTCTTTCTTTTTTTTTTGCAACTTGTGCTTTCACTTAGTTGTGGCAGTTTTACTGTTAGCCTGTATAGACCTACCTCACCCCTTTTTGTGGCTGCATGGCGTTCCATTGTGTGACGTACCACAGTTGAAGCAGTCCCTTCCTGGTGATAGACTTTTACCGGTATTGTTACCAGTATTGCTGCAGTGAGCAAATCTGCACATACATTTTTATACGGTATGTGTGTTTGTGAGATAAGATCTTAAAAAGGAAGCACTGTGTCATATGTTTTGTTTTAGAAAGGGCATTGCTATGATTCAGAGAAAGCAGACTTTCCTTCCCTTCTCTCACTGGCTTAGGTTGGAACCGTGATGCCTTTAGTCATGGAATTCTTATCAGGCTCTGTTAGGCACTTGGGACATGGTGCTCAGAGTCTGAGCTTTCCAGGGAAACAGGAATGTTTGAGGCCTGAAAAAAAGAAAAGGTGTTGGTGCTAACGTAAGAAAGTTATGAAATAAAAAACTAATAAATGTAATTATATGTCTTTCCAATCCCATGAGCTTCATTGTTCTTTGCTTTAAGAGAGAGTTTTCTTGGGGCGCCTGGGTGGCTCAGTCAGTTGAGCATCCTACTCTTGCTTTCGGCTCAAATCATGATCCCAGGGTCGTGGAATCAAGCCCACCATGGCATCAGGCTCCACGCTCAGTGTGGATTCTCTCTCTCCTTCTGCCCCTCTCCCCAGCTTGTGTTCTCTCATACTTTTTAATTTAAAAAAAATTAAAAATATTTTTTTGGGGGCACCTGGGTGGCTCAGTTGGTTAAGTGGCCAACTTTGGCTTGGGTCAGGATCTCATGGTTCATGAGTTCGAGCTCCGCAACAGGCTCAGTGTTGACAGAGAGCCTGGAGCCTACTTCAGAGTCTATCTCCCTCTCTCTCTGCCCCTCCCCTGCTCACGCTGTCTTTCCATGTCTCTCAAAACTGAATAAACATGAAAAAAATTTTAATGTATTTATTTTTTATCGGGGTGCCTGGGTGTTTCAGTAGGTTGAGTGTCCAACTCTTGGTTTCGGCTCAGGTCATGATCTCATGGTTCCATGGGTTTGAGCCCTGCATTGGGCTCTGCACTGCTAGTGCTTGGGAGTCTCTTTCTTTCTCCCTCTCTCTGCCCCTCCGCAACTGGCACTGTCTCTGTCTCTCACAAAACAAATAAATAAATAAACTTAGAGAAAAAAAACTTAACTTTGAAAAAATATATATACTCATGATAATTAGTGAAGTCACAATCACAAAATCAAATAATTTCAAAAGCAGTTTTTAAAGATCTTTTCAAAAATTACAGGAAAAAGCTTCCCTTAAATATGAAAAATGGCTCCTCTGGCTGCTGTGTTTGAAGTGTTGTGGGGAAGCCTTCAAAAGGAAGCATGCAAGGGGTTGGGGGAGGGGGGAGGGCGGGTGTAGGAAGGACGAGCAGCACTTTGAGGAATAGCAAACAAGCTGTTAAAATGTGCATCTCAGACGCATTGTAAAGTGAAGAAGTCAGTCTCAAAAGGATCCATTTATATGACATTCTGGAAAAGGCAAAATGTAGGAAATGGAGAACAGATAAATCTGGGTGCCAGGGTTTAAGCATAAGGAGGTGATAACATGAGGCAATTTGGGGATTGATGAAACTTCTGTATCTTAAATGTGGTGATGGTTATATGACTTGGTGCTTTTGTCAAAACTGTACACCAAATATGTATATATATATACACACACACACATATATACACACACACATCCGCGCACACACATATGTATGTGAATTTACATATGTATGTGAATTTAAAAAATTTTTTTAAATAGCAATAATGTGCAAGGACCCAACAGAGTCCCCTTTGAACTTCACTCTCAGGTGAGCAGCAGCCTTGTCTGCCCGCCACTGGCTCTTTCACTGCTGTTGTCAGGGCTGAGTATAACCCCTGGGGCCGGGACGCAGTGGTCCACCATCTACCAGCTGAACACCCAATTTCAAGGCACTCTTTATCTTTCCTCCCTGGCTAAGGGGTGATTCTCCAGGTACAACTCCTCACCTCATTATGCCCCTTCCCATCTCGATCAGCAAAGAGGGCTGGGGCATAACCTCTGCCTTGTGGTGTGTGGCAAGTCCCTCGTGTGTCTCGGAGGCCAGGTGTTCTGAGTTTCTGGGCTTTGACGGACATGAGCAAATACCGTCCCCTGGGTTTTGGTATCTATCAGAGCCTTTACACACTGAAGGGATGCTTATGGTTACTGGTGTTTCAAATAATATCTTAGTTTATTTTTTTAATGTTTGTTAATTTTGAGAGAGAGAGAGGGAGAACACGAGTGGGGAAGATCAGAGAGAGAGGGAGACAGAGAATCCAAAGCAGGCTCCAGGCTCTGAGCTGTCATCACAGAGCCCAGCACAGGGCTTGAACCCATGAGCTGTGACATCATGACCTAAGCTGAAGTTGCAGCTCAACTGCCGGAGCCATCCAGATGCCCCAATAATATCTTAGTTATTAAAGCTGTACATTTAAAATCTAATTTCTCTTGTTTTCTTAACATCAACTTAACTACAAAATAGTTGGTTTTATATATAAACACTTTTGCTGAACCCTTGATTGATGCTCCATCAGTTCAAAACTTAATGGGTTAAACTGTAAATATGGCTTATATGCCTAATCTAGTTGTCTTAGACATTTAAAGGCAACCACATATTTAATCTGTTTGATTTGTACAAACACTTCCAATATGAAAGACCTAAAATCAGATGAAATTTTCCAAAGCATTCAAATACTAACATATTTAAGTCTCAATCATAGATCTAATAAATAAAATCTTTTAATATTTAATACATCTTAAAATTTAATAACTCAAAGTCTTAAACATTAAGTGTTTACACACTTGAAATTTCATAGACATTTTAAAATTAAAATCACAGATCTAATTTCACATTCCTTCAAGCATTACAAATTAAATTCAAAGTATCAGATTCTCTAATACATTAAAGTATCTTAAATAACAAAATATCACAATAATCAGAAACGTTTTCCTCCATTTGACAAGACTGGGGTCATGGTTTTGATTTACTTGCCAGAGTCTGTGTGACATCCTACCAAGGTGACATTCTGTCTGATCTCAGGACTATGATACATTCGTGGTCAGAGATTCTGGGGCTGGCCAAGTACAGGTTGCTACTTATGCAGTGGTTTTGCCCAAATTTCTGGGTAACAAACTAAGCCCCTTGCAAGTAGTAATGGGATTTTCAAGACCACCCCTACATCACACCTCACTCAGTGAGGGTCGGGGTTTTGTTACCTCTTCTGAAACTTTAAATGGCCCGATGCATCAGTTAAGCTTCTGCACCCACCACCCAGATTGGAATCACTTCACTGCCTCCATAAATTCTGCTCCCTTCTTATTTCTTTTTTAAACTGACTCATCCACCTCATTCTAACTATAGAAATCACTAAAGGATTCAGGTTGATGAAGGGAAAACAATCTTAAAGAATGGCAGTGCGTAATGCATTTTTCTGTGAGAGACATCTGTGGTTTTAGGTTAATTTGGTCCACATTACCTTTGAAATGAAAGTAAATGTCAGAGGTGATCATTCGACTCTAATCTACTCATTCATTCATCACATGCCTGCCTGCGATGATGGTGGCTCTGTATAGGTGCTGGGATACACGCACAGAAGACAGTCTGCACCTGAAAAAAGCATGCCAAAATTAAGTCTACTGTGGAGGCAACTCACTAATTCCTGTTCTCTAAACCTTCAATCAAATCATCTGTATTGTAGGGGTGCCTGGGTGGCTCAGTCAGTTAAGTGCCTGAGTTCAACTCAGGTTATGATCTCATAGTTCCTGGGTTCAAGCCCACATTGGGCTCTACTCTGACAGTGTGGAACCTACTTGGGATTCTCTCTCTCTCTCGCTCTCTCTCTCTATCCCTCTGTCTCTCTGACCCTCCCTTATGTGCATGCACACGCACTCTCTCAGAATAAATTTTTAAAAAATCATCTTTGATGTAGCCAAGGCCATGATCACAATAAACTATGAACCCTAACATAAGAAAGAACTGAACACAATTAGGCACATACTTACTGAGAATGGGTAGTTAGGAGAAGCAAACACTTTCATTTTCTCCATCAGCTTGCTCATTGATTGGCTATCCAAGGCACTTAAGCCCATACTTGCTCAAGGTGTTCCATATTTTTGAGAGAGAGAGAGAGAGAGAGAGAGAGAGAGAGAGAATCCCAAACAGGCTCCACACCATTAGTGCAGAGCCTGATGTGGGACTCGAATTCATGAACCTTGAGATCATGACCTGAGCTTAAGTCTGACACTTGGTTAAGCAACTGAGCCACCCAGGTGCCCAGGTGTTTCATTTTAATTGAGGAGAGTGCGTGGTTAATGAGAAAAATGTGAGCAGACAAATGGACTCGGTGAGCCCCAGTTCAGAGAAGAAGATCTCTATTGGTTGGATGGGTCTCTGAGACCAGGAGAGACAGAATCTGTGCTGGGCCTGCAGTGACCAGGACCCCAGGTCCATGACTCTGATTCACTGATTCAACACATGCTTGCTGCATTCCTACTTTATGCAAGCACTTTGGGTACTAGAATACAAATTCCTTCTCCTGGAAGCTCAAAATCAGGAGAAAGGAGACAGCAATAAGTAACCATATAGACTCTGAAGTGGTGATAAGTACTATGGAAAGAAATAATAAAATGGAGAGGAGGACAAGAAGTTGGGGTGGAAGGTGCCATTTCAGGCTGGTTGTCAGAAATGCCCTCTCTGAGGAGGTAGTGTCATGAGTTGAATAGTGTCCCCTCAAAATGCATGTCCACCCAGAACCTCAGAAATGGGCACTTATTCGGAAAGAGTGCCTTTGTGGCTGCAATTAGTTGAAGGTCTCAAGAAGATATGCTGGATTCAAGGTGGGCACTAAATCCATGACTGGTGTGCTCATGAGAGGAGAGGACACAGAAGAAATGTATGCCGAGATGGCGGCAGAGATTGTCACAAGTCTAGGACCACATGGGCGTCGGGAGCTGGAGGAGACAAGGAGGGTCCCTGAACACTTTAGTAACAATCAAGGGATAAGTTGTTCACTGGCCTAAAGCACAGTCCCCAAAAGTTATCCAAAGATAACAATTTCATAGAAAAAAACTTCTTTTACTTTCTAGTCTAATAAGATCCACATATCCTCCCACCCCCACCCCATGCCATGTCTGGAAATTCTGGCTAGATTCCTCACAGGGTTGCTGTGAGGATTAAATGATTTAGTAAAGGCTAAGGTCTTGGTATAGTACCTGACACCTAAAAAATGCTCAACTGACGTTAGCCGTTTGTAGCCGTGTTGATGATGTTAACTGCAAACTCCTTTTCTGTCAGTCACGATACCCAGCACAGGCCTGGGCACAGAGTATAATATTTAGGTAGATACTCAGTGAGTGACTGGTCTCCAACATTTGAGATTCCTTCCACACTTGAAATATCATAGCTTATTTTGTGTCTTTTTAAAAACGTTCTAGGGGCGCCTGGGTGGCTTAGTCGGATAAGCGTCCGACTTTCGCTTAGGTCATGATCTCGCGGTTCGTGGGTTCGAGCCCCGTGTCGGGCTCTGTGCTGACTGCCAGCTCAGGGCCTGGAGCCTGTTTCAGAGTCTGTCACTCCCTCTCTCTCTGACCCTCCCCTGCTCACGCTGTTTCTCTCTCTCTCTCTTAGAAATAAATTAAAAAAAAAAAAAACAACGTTCTAAATATTAATTGATTTTTTTAAAAAACAGCTATTGCTATAACTCAACCCACTCAACTTTATTTTGTATAATTTTATTAATTTCTGCTTTTATCTTAATGTTCAGGCTTTTTTGTTTGCTAGCGCATTCAAGGTGGTACATTTTCTTGAGAGCACTGCTTTGCATCGCACAAGATACGCAGTGTATTCATAGTGACCCTGTTAATAATTGAAGCAATGATGCATATAAGGAGCTTGGCGCAGTGCTCAGTAATGGCTGGCTGCTTTAACCTTATCCTGCACACTGAGGCCAGTCTATTTGACATTGGTAAGCAGTTGCTTAGCAAACCCACCTTCTGCGCCTTTCGTGTCACTCCTCCCAGCCCGTCACGGGGCGGGGCCAGATATTCACGCCCCTGACCCCACCCCCGCCACGTTCCCTTGACAGCGCGTGCGTGCTCCACGGGCTATAATCCTGTCTCCTTCCGCTTTCTAAAAGAGGCTCTGGAACTAGGATGAGAAAAATAGTCCCTTGACAACAATCTTCCTTCAACAAGGAGGCGGGAAGGGGGCGGGGCTTAAGAGCGGAAGGGACAGGAAGTCCGTGAGTCTTGTGGTGGGATTGGGTCCCGCGCGCTCAGGAGGCGGGTCATGTGGGCGGAGGGATCCATTTTACACGGCAGACTCCATTTAAGGCGGGGAGAGGAGCGCGGGCGGCAGTTGCTGTGGTTTCCCGGTTGCGGTTCTTGTGTCTTTTGGGAGCTGAGACTAGCGGACGTAGTGTCTTGCGACCAACTTTACCCGCAAGTGACTACAGATCAGGCGGTCGGGAGCTCAGCGTCTCTTCCTCCGACCAGGCTCGGCCCTTGTTTTCCCTTCACCACTTGGTGCCCATATCTAGGTCGGCTCCGGCGCGGCTGAGAAGGCCGCGGGCGAGATGTTCAAAAACACGTTCCAGAGCGGCTTCCTCTCCATCCTCTACAGCATTGGCAGCAAACCCCTGCAGATCTGGGACAAAAAGGTCAGGAGTTGAGGACAGCCGCTGGGCTGGGTGCAGGGGCCGCGCTTCCTCCTCGTCCGGGGTCTGGGGACGGGGTGGCGGGTAGTCCTGTAGAGTTGGGGGCCCAGGGGAGGCGGGGCGGGCGCTGCTGTGACTGTCCCCAGGCCGGCGTGACTGAGGTGCAAGGTAGGGGCATCGTGTAAGCAGATGGGGGTGCATGTGGGGTGGGCGTGGCTGGGGTTTAAGTGTCCAGCGGCCATGGTGTGGTAAGGACAGCGGCCCCTCTCCGCAGTCTTAACGCGCTCAGTCAATTCTTCAGGAGCCTCGCTCTCCCCATTTATATGGTGGGATTGATCCTACCCGTGTCCTAGCGTGAAATGCATACACTTACTTGAGGTTTCTTTGGGAACATGCAGATGAAAGAAGCAGCTGTTTACTGATGTCACAAATATTTACTGATACTCTGTTTTGTGCCAGGCACTGTGCTGGGCACAAGACACAGAGCTTTTGTTCCAGGCATGGTGATAGAGGCACAGCCAGAAGGCAGTTATGTTTGGGTTTCATTCATTTGCTCCTCTCCTTCCAGGAATCTCAATCAAGGCAGCGTCCGGTGGCCTTTGGCACCTGCTCCACATTCAGTGCTACTTGGGGTCTGTACTGTGCCTTCTGTGCTTGGTTTCTACATCAGGAAAACTGCAAAATGGTGACAAAATTTTGTTTGGATTAATAAGTTCAGAGCCAGGTACAAGCCCCATTATGTTTATTCAAGTATCCGCTGGATAATACTTTGACCCCAGGAGATGGTGACCCTGGCCATGTTTTGGAGATGTTGAGTAGGGGGCACGTGTGTCTAGCACGCTGTGCGTTGGTCACGTCTTATTACTTTGTTATTTCATTTCTCATGCCAGTTCCCAGTGAGTTGTACCCGTTTTCAGGGTAAGTTGAGGGAGGCACTCTTGTGGAAGACGGGTGATTCCTCGGGAGAGCGCAGAGAAGTGGTATGTTGGATGGGGTTTGATAGGGATGAAGGTGGAATAGTGTCAGTAAGCAGTTTATGGGGAAGGAAGCCAAGAGCCTTGGAGCTCATCTCAGAACAACTGTCTTCCTCATCCGCACGCATGCGTCAGGGGCCACACAGAGACTGGTAGGGACATCGATAGCCTTCTGCCTGTCACCACCAGGGAGTTCTGCATTTTGAAAGCAGCTCTGAGAGTGGTGTGTTCCTCATGTCACTTTTATAAGACCGTCGGGAGATCTGGATGTCAGGAGCTGTCTGGGCCTATGCGTGCGTGAAGCATCGGCGTCTCCTCTTCGACGCTGCATCTGACCACACGCTTAGGCTCCTACCGACTATTGCACAGGAGAGCATTTCCTTAGCTTTCTTCCCTACGTCATCGAGGGTCTCCGTTGCGTGGTTCTCTTCACATTGGAATAAACATTGAAAACTGAAACCGCAGCTGTGCAAAGAGAACCTGGCCTGAATGTACCTGGGGACTTTGTGAGGATGGCTTCCCAGCTGTGGCTGCACTGATGGGCTGTGTGCCCGTTGGACATGGAATTATAACACAAAGGTCAACATAAGGCACTTGAGGTAGAATATGGGACTTGATCTAGGAGACGTTTCTAGAGCAGGTCACAGACCTTAGTAACGCTGAAAGAATTGCAGCGGTAGGGAGGCCTCAGCATTTCCATTAGGTGAAACTTATCAGAGTTGTCCATTTTAACCCTCGAGGCTTGATCTTTTTGTGTGTGTGTTTTATTTTTCAAATGCAACTTTTTAACTAGTCAACATGTTTACATATGGAATATAAAAGCAAAGTAACCATGGTGCACTGTGTCCCTTAACAACGCCGCTAGAGGTGGATGGTACCCTAATGACATAACGTGTGTGAAAACATTATTAGAACGCCTGGCAGGGTTACTTGGAGTAAATTAAACAGTCATTTTGGCAAAGAAAATGAGAATAACCCTCATTTTAAGCAAAATTCTTATAATATTAAAAGTTAATTATGTTTCTACTTTTTTTGCATTTTTTTAAGGTTATTTGTTTTTGAGAGAGAGAGCGTGTGTGGGAAGGGCAGAAAGAGAAGGAGAGACAGAATACCAAGCAGACTATTCTGTCAGCATGGCTCCCTACATGGGGCTCGAACCCACGAACTTTGAGATCATGACCTGAGCCAAAATTGAGTCAGACGCTTAACCAACTGAGCCACCCAGGTGTCCTACTTTTTGTATTTAGACTCAAAAGGGTTTCGGGGTGAATCTTTTCCCTTGGAGCAAGGGAAGGAATGGGAGGAAAAAGACAAGTTTGGGGTCAGATCCATAGGCTTTGTTGCATATGTGCCTTTTCTTAACTGTATTACAAAGTCCTCAAGGAAGTGTTGGGAATCCGACCCAGTTGGAGAAATACTGGGAATTGATATACTTATCAAAGATTTATTGAGCAAGAGTTAAATCACAGGCATTGTGTAGATTTGGGGAGATAAAAAGTTAGAAGACATTTTTCCTGCTCTCAGGAAGTAAGGCAAAGTTGTAGTAAAGGTAAAGTCTGAGGGATGGGCCATCCACATTGATCTAGAAATGATCTTGAACTCTGCTGGTAGTACGTAAGGCTATTTTTATTACTATTTTGATTTCACAAACTTTACTGAGCTTATGGAGAAGAATTTCTATAATTTGTTTTCTGTAAAGAATAATCTTGGAAAAATTAGGTTTGGCTTCTGTTTGGGCTGTGTGTCTCCTAATGAACGTGAAGAGTGAATGCCATATTCATACTAGTGAATTGACAGACTCCATTTTTGTGGGTGTGCTTACTAACATCTGTAACACCTGCGTTTATCTGACACCCTCTGAAGTTCAGAGCTCCTGCCCCCCATCTCTTCCTTCAAATCTCAACTTAAACATTTCATTGGGAGCTTCAGTTAGGTCTCCTGTGTATTCCTGTGGTCCTCTACTTCACACTGTATGGTAGGTGCCTCTTTATTGTGTATTTCCCACTAGACTACAAATTCCTTTAGGGGAAGAAAAGTATTTTACCTTGAAACCCGAGGGCTGGGGTTGGGACAGTGTGGATGTGCACCCTGGCACTGTCCTATGTCCTGTGTTGTGTAACATTGGGCAAGCACTCACCTGCCCAGTTTTCTTACTTTGTAATGATGCGACCTCCTTCCATGATTATGGAGATTAAATGAAGGTTTATCTAAAATGTGTGGCAACAGAGTTATGGCAGACAGTATCAAATAGGGCAGAAAACGCAGGAATTTGCTCAGGAGTAAATAAGTTGACAGTTAGTGCCTAGGAATAGGAAATCCAGTAAAGCCAGACTTCCGAAATTAGAAGAATTTCGCCATTGTAACATGGCTTTCCCAGTCCAAAACCCTTAACGTGATTCTAAGGCCACACAGCGCAGGGCGGGGTGCCTGCCTCGCCAGCTCTGCAGGCTGGCCCTTGCCAGGCTCCCCTCGGAGCAGTGACCTCCTGCTGTGTTCTCTCACCTTTAGGCTGTACCTGTCTCTCTGCTGGGACCCACCCCGCCACTTCTTAGTCTCCAGGTTACAACCCAAAGGCACTTCCTCAGGTCAAGTTAGTTTATATCCACGTGCCCCTCCAGGTTAAGTTCATTTATACCCCCTTATAGAGCCTCTACTTCCTTTTCATCCGACTCCTCATTCTTGACATTTATTTTTGAAATTAGCTTCTTAGAATCTGTATTCCTTGCTAGACTACAGTCTTCCTGATAAAGGCCTCTGTGTTTATCAAACCAACGGCTTAGGATAAATTAGGGATTTCTTAATGTTGCCTTAACTTCTGGGACCGCAAATTACATTTATTAAAGGATTAGTATGTTTAATGTAGACATTACTTCTGGTTTGTAGAGGAAATACCAGAATGTTCTGTTCCCACTTATGCCTGTATAAAACATAAAATTTTCATATTTCAAAATATGTTTAATATCCTAAAAGTCTACTAGATGAATGTGAATTCATACACATTTCTGTCTTCCTCACCTCTCACCTATCTTTCAGCTGCTGCTGATCCTCACCTATTCTGAAACTATTAGAGCAGAACTTTTTGTGGTTGTTGCTGGATAGTATTAGATTCTCATTCCCTTTTCCTAATTTTAAAAATGAATAGTCTCTCTCCAGAAAAGTAGTTTCCACACCCTCGTTTTTAATTAGCAAACTTTACTGGTACATGTTAAACTACTGTGTTCCCAGTAGTAGAATCAAGGGCATTGGACGTGAAGGTAGTACAGCTGTTTGTTTTTTCCAGACTTTCCCTGGATCAGCCTAATGATGTTTATATTGTTCTGAGTAATAGCTTTTACTATAATTGGGCAGAGGCATGGGTTTAGTTGTATTTGCCCTTGCAAGACATCGCTAGGAAGAGACCAGTTAGCACTGCACTTATAATTGCCTTTACTGTAACCAACGGGTTGTTTGTATGTGCCCAGAGCTGCCCGGGTGCTAATCTGGAGAGTCCCTCTTAAGTGTAGCAAAGGGAGGGAAGCTTTTGACCCATTGGAGCCTGCAAGGCCTAGGCCTGGAGACAGAGCTATGCCCAGCTCTCCCCACAGAGGTCTCCCTCCGCCTGCTTTCTGACTTACATCCCAGCCCCTAGCTGCAGGCGAAACTTTCCTGCTGATATGGACAGCTCTAATGGCTTAATGTAAATTGGAACATGTGTCATTAAGACTAGGATGCCAGATGGCTGCAGGCTCAGCTGTCTGCCAGGATAAGTGGGTGGAGCCAGAAAAATGGAAGGTGGGGGTAGGGAATGCATACAACTCATGTGTTATTTTTAAAACACTTGAAGAAATATGGAGAATTGGCTAGCTTCCTCCCTATCCCAGTAGTACTTTTTTCCCCTCAGCCTGACCCTCCTCCCTGGAGCTTACATTGAAAAAAAAAAAAAATCAGTGTTCTTTATTAGTTGCCCCAGCGACCATGGAAAGCCTGGGAGAGTGATTGTAAGAAGAGCGTGAAGGTTCCTTTCCTGGTATGTGCAGAGGCTGAGAACCCTTCTGATTTGTAATAGCCAGCAACCTGGGTTCTGCAGCTCCCAGGGGACCTCCAGCTCATAGCTCTGAGGGTGGCAGGAGGGCGGGGATAGGGAGTTCATGAACAAAAATGTAAGACGGGCTCTGTTTATTTTCTGGAGGAATAAAACACGTGTAGCCTACACCTTGATAGCAGGACTGTGTCATGGAATAAAAAAGAAGTAAAAAGTCAAGAACAATTGGCACTTTCTCATTTAGAGAGGGAAGTAAGCTAAAACCTATTTCCACCGTAAGCAATCAATGCTGACCAGTTCATTTAATCTTCATTTCAAAGCCAAGCCTGCTTAGCGACCTCTGAACTGGAAGGCGCTAAGGAAAGGAAGTCGATGCTTTCTGAGGTCGTGTATCTTGTTATATGTGTTTGTCAGAAGCTGGACTGAGGAGGGGGTTGCTTCCTGCAAGACCTTTACAATTTAAGGCAGTGACAGCCAGACTGCCAAGGTGGTTGAAGGGCCTTGCCCCAATTGTCCACCTGCTTTTCCCTTGATCCTAGTTTTAGAGCCTATCTCTTTGGGGAGGTTTCCTTTAAGTGCTCATCTCTCTGATTAATTGTACCCCCACCCTCTTTCCCAATGAGTTTCAATTTGCAGCTCTGTGAACTTTAAATAAAGGAGAAAAATCATAATTCATAACAAATCAACTTAATTTGATTTCAGAGCTCTGGCAGTTGGTGATAGGAGAATACTTAAAACTCCAGAGAGACGGGTGGGCATTCCTTTGACAAAGCTGCCTTTTTTTCCCTGAGTTCTCCTGGTTTATGGACTACATTAATTAATTATGTAAGAATTAAGTCCGGGAGTGTGGTGGTTGATGTGTTGCGAGAGAGACTTCTCTTTAGGAAGTTTTTGAAAGTCTAGCTAAAAATGAGCTTGCCTCTGGGGTAGAGGCGGAAGAATACACAGTCTCTTTTGGCTTCCAGTCTGTAGGCTTCTGCGTGCTTTGTAAGGCATTGTTTTCTTCTGTAAAGGCTTGAATAGTCGCATTTGCTGGAGTGAAGTAATCGGCTAGAAACTTTGAGATGGGCAGAAGCAAGTTCCCTAACATTTCCTCCCTGTGAAAGCTTTCTGGAGCTGACAGAGTATTCTTGCTGGGCTCTGAGAGACGTTTGGGGATGTAAGATTTGAGCCCATGCTTTCAAGCAGTATTGGATAAATTGCAACACATTGCCTTTTAGAAATAATTAATTGATCCTTTCAGGTTAACCTTGTGTTTGATCGTTGTATTATGTATTCTTTAAAGAAAGAATGAAGGTACAAAGAATAATTAGCTGTACGTTATCAAATTAGTATTTGCGTCTTGTTGGAATACTGGCAGCTCTTAGCAACGTGACTGCATCACATTATTTGGAAATAATTTCTCATCTGACTCCTCCTTCACCAGCAAGTCAGTCTGATATTCCACAGCAGCTGTGGGCTAGCAAATCGAGGAGGAATATTGCCATTTGGTCCTAAGTGTTTATGTGGGGAATGAGGGGGGCAGCGTTGGCATGTGCTGCACAGGCCCAAGCCTTTGTGCGCTTAATCTCCCTGGGAAAGCGGCCCAGAGCGCGAAGCAGGAGGGCAGCGAGTGTCGCCAGCTTTGTTTGAGGAGCACTTCAATGTGACGCTTGTGTCTTAAGAACCCAAGAAACGCTGCATTGGCAGAGATCTGGGGCCCATCCGCCCTGCATTCTGTCTCTGATAATGGGCACCAGGGGCTGATTTGTGGGAAAGCATTCTTCGTGCTGGCAGCCTCCCTGGCTTTGTGATAGACCCCAGGCTCTCGGGCCTCCTTTAATAGTCCATGGTGGATATGTTATCCAGGAATTTTTTTTAAATCCTCCTTGAATCTATTCACCCTTGCCAACTCTCAGGGTGACAAATTCCAGAAGTCAGCAAATATTTGAATGCTTAGTTTATGCCTAGCATAGTACTAAGCTTTGTAGAAGATACAAATGATGCTTAATATTTGATCCCTACCCTTGAGCTTATAGTTTTGTGAGGAGACAAGACTCAGTTGCATCTGGAAGAAAACTATGGACAGTAATATCAAATGTCCCATGGGAACACGAAGCACACCAGAGGTAGACCACATTCACAGTACCGGAGGTCAGAGACTGATGCCTAAAAACAAAATGCCGTGTTATTAATAATAAAAAGACCACATGCTTTTGGTGCATCCTGTACTAAATCTGATTGATTTTTTTCATGTGTTAATACATTCAGCCCTAATAGTCCAGCCCTGTGTCAAAAATGCCTTTGCATATCTCTGCTCTGTCCATTTTAGGTGCTTAAACACTCACTGCTTGAAGGTAATTGTGCTTTCCTAAATATTTTGAGAGGGGAAATCCATAGTGAATATTGATCCCTCTTCATATTGTACCTCTTGCGTGTGCAGCAGACGATCCAGAGCCATGTAGGGTGAAGGGCTAACTTACGTAGTCTAGGCTACATGAGCCAGACGAACAAACCAGAAAGAAGAAAGGTCGGTGTGGGCTGAAATGCTGAAGAAGGCTTCTGTGTGTGGCACAGATGAGACTTGAATTCCTTAAAAATTTGAAATTTAGGGAAAAGAAGATAAGGAAACAAGAAGTAGGAGCATAGTAGTAGGTGCTGTAGAAGATAAAAATGATGCTTGATGCTGGGGGAATAGTGCTCTCGTTTTCTGGTTGCCGCCCTCCCAGTGGAGGTGCCCTTCTCAGTGGCACCCAACCTTGGGCCTTTTTGGCTGAAGAAGTATATGAGGCAGTGTGGAAAGCCTGGTCGTTAATCCTGACTCTCACTTAGAGTCCTCACTCGCACTGTCTAGGTGTCAGTGTCCACATGTGTAAAATACCACCTACCTTATGATTTTTGTTACGATTAAGTCAGAGAATGTATATGAATGTTCCTAGTACATCGTAGGCACTGAGTAATTGTTAGCTGAATCAAGTTGATTCCTTTTTTTTTTTTTTTAATGTTTATTTTTTGAGAGAGAGAGAAAGAGAGATTAACAAGTAGGCTCCATGCTGCCAGCACAGAGCCCAACATGGGGCTCGAACTCACGAACTGTGAGATCATGACCTGAGCCAAAACCGAGAGTCAGGCACTTAACCGGCTGAGCCACCCAAGTGCCCCTCGAGTAGATTTCTTTGGAAAGAAATTGATCCTAATTTATAGATGGCCAAGTCACCTGCAGTTCCTGTGGTGGTTGTGGGACCTCGTATGGAGGTAACATTGTGGCCTACTTACAGATAAGCTCAGTATACCGTGTCCCAGAGTTCTGCGTTGTGCCCCAAGGGCTGTTGTGGTTTTCTTTAAATGGTCCCATTCAGCCTTCAAAATCTTGACACAGTTGTTGCCAAATATTTCAGTCCTAATTGGTTTAATTTTCTTTGTTGTAGGTGCGGAATGGCCACATCAAAAGAATCACTGATAATGACATCCAGTCCCTGGTGCTAGAGATCGAAGGAACGAATGTGAGGTAGGTGGCCCCTCTGTTCACCCAGAGACACAGGACACCAGGGAGGCAGAAGGTCATAGAGGTTAATAAGCACAGACTGTGGGACCAGGCGCCTGGTGTGGTTCCAGCTCGCTGCTTCCAGCTTACCCTGGGCAAGTTACTTAACCCCGGGCCTTCATTTCCTCATCTGTAAAATAGGGATAATAACAGGACACCTTCCTTAGAGGGTTGTTGTGAAGATCAAGTAAGCGAATTGTGTACAAACTCCTTAAAACCTGCTCAGCACATAGTAAGTGCTGTGTGTTAGCTATATTATTATTAATAAGTACCCAAGGTGTGTGGGTGTGGGTGGAGGGATGGCACTGATCATCCAGTGGGTGGCGTGTGCCACTGTATGGTTCTCTGCGCCACGGTAGTCTTAGTTTGGGTTTTCAATCACTTGATGGTTCTCTTAGAGCAGAATTGAGTCTTCTCTCACTGGAGAAAATTCCTCAGGTCACTGGCCTGGCTTCGTTTTTCAGGTTATTTTGTTGTTGATGTCTAGCCATGTTCAGCTTTTGTTTCAGAGTCCAGTGTTGTGTTTTTTTTAAAGCATCAGCTGATTTAAGGATTGAGGATTGGGTGAGGTATCTGGATCTTTTAGATCTGCTTTCCAACTTACCTCTCGGACCAAGTGTTTTTGCCGCGTATACCACAAAGGAAGCACTTACAGTATCTCCTCTCTCTGCAGCACCACGTACATCACCTGTCCTGCAGACCCAAAAAAGACATTGGGGATTAAACTTCCCTTCTTCGTCATGATAATCAAAAATTTGAAGAAATACTTTACCTTTGAAGTACAGGTTAGTATATACATGTGAGTGTGCACATGGTCAGCTATACCATAGGGACAGCCTGTCAACTTGCAGGAAAAAAAGTGGCTCTAGGAAAGTATCTTTAGTCTTTTGTGTGTATTTTTTTTAAGTTTATTTATTTATTTTGAGAGAGAGAAAGCCTGAGTCAGGGAGAAGAGAGAGAGAATCCCAAGCAGGCACTGTGATGTCAGCACAGAGCCTGACGCAGGGCCCAACCCCACAAACTGTGAGAGCCTGACCAGAGCCAAAGTCCGACGCCTAACTGACTGAGCCACCCAGGCGCCCTCGTATGTATTCTTTTCTCCCTCTACTACACACTTGATGTGGCCGTTGTTATTACGACATAAATTTGGTATTCGTAGTCAAACTTTAATGCCACGTTTTTTTTAATTTTTTTTTTATGTTTTTTTATTTTTATTTCTAGGAGGGAGAGAGAGAGAGAGAGACAGACAGCGTGAGCAGGGGAGGGTCAGAGAGAGAGGGAGTCACAGACTGAAANCTCCAGGCTCTGAGCTGGCAGTCAGCACAGAGCCCGACGCGGGGCTCGAACCCACGAACCGCGAGATCATGACCTAAGCGAAAGTCGGACGCTTAACCGACTAAGCCACCCAGGCGCCCCAAATGCCACGTTTTTAAAGAAGCAGTAAACACCTAGGAAATCTGAAAACAGCTATAACGTTTCAAAGCTTAAAGGTTAGAGTAGTGTCCATTCAATAGTGGTTATTGTTGGCCTCTGTTCGAGTATTTTTGATTTTTCAAATGGAAGAATGTTTATGAAATCATTCTATGGTCTGTGGGCCCTCGGGTGTGTCACATGTCATAAGCAGCTGGCGTTGTCTTGGCAACGGACAAGATAAACTTGCTACTTCCGGGCCATCTGCATCCAGTATGACCTGTGTCTGGTCTGTTTATTCTCCCTTGGGTCTCAGCCTTGGGAAACTGGGCTGTGGGAGTTCAGGCCCTTGTCTTCTACCCAGGTTGCTTCTTCCAAGGTGGAGTTCACGTGATTCTTTTTCTATATGTCATAGGTACTGGATGACAAGAATGTGCGTCGGCGGTTTCGGGCAAGTAACTACCAGAGCACCACCCGAGTCAAACCCTTCATCTGTACCATGCCCATGCGGCTGGATGACGGCTGGAACCAGATTCAGTTCAACCTGGCCGACTTCACACGGCGGGCGTATGGCACCAATTACATCGAGACCCTGAGAGTGCAGGTACTGGCTCCTTTTCCAGTGGAACGCCGAATGGGAGAGGGGAGCGTGCCCTGCCTGATCCTGGCCTGTGGCCCCGGTGACAGAACAGTGTGGGGTTTTGGCTAAGGTGCCCAGGTCACGGCCCAGAGGGCTGAGAGAGGCCCGGGCCTTATTCAGGTGTCTGTTCAGATACAGTAGGAAAACACAGCGAGCAAAATATCCCTCTTGCCAGAGTCCACTCCCAAGCCGTGCTAAGGAGATGCCAAACTGAGGAAGCTTTGACAGCCTCGTGGGAGGGGCTCTCGGTGAATCGGGAAAAGAGGAAGGACAATCCTGTTTTGTCTCCTAAAATAAGTCTTGCACCCACAGATTCACGCAAACTGTCGCATCCGACGGGTTTACTTCTCAGACAGACTCTACTCAGAAGATGAGTTGCCAGCCGAGTTCAAATTGTATCTCCCAGTTCAGAACAAAGCCAAGGTAAGCCAGCCTCCTCAGGAAGGCCAGACGGTGAGTTGGGGGAGCTGGAAAGTGCTCTGTTCTAGCCTCTCAGTGCTGACCTGGGGTCTGGAGTACCTTTCGTTGTAAGATCCCGGGTCTTCTCCCAACACCAGCACTGAATCAGGATCGCTCCTGGGAAAGGCTCTGGGACCGTTGTCTCCACCTCCACAAGGTGGTCCTGCCTCACGCGGGATGGTGTCCTGCCACTCCGTGTCTTCCATCCGAACCTCTTTATCGGCCCCAAATTCCTGTCAGCCCACCGGTCTCCTCTGGCACGATGCTGGTGCTTCCTCCCTGCCTGCCCGCTGCTGACATTACTCATTTCTGCCCAGCCCAGCGTCCCCTCCAGTGTCCCCAGAAAGGGGAAGCGCCTCAGTGGCACCGACCATCTATTTTTCTGATAACTTAAACTGATGCCTCTTCTGTTTGTTTCTTTTTCTCCAGCAATAACTAGAATGCACCTTGAGGGATGTCAGACCCTGGACATGGCTCTTAGTTTGAAAAGGAAACTATCTGGAGGACAATGCAAAAAACAAATATTTCTATTAGTTTACTGTGCTGTGGTTCTTTTATCTACCACTTGGTGTCCCTTGTTGCAGACACCAGCGACCATGGCAGGATGCCGTCGTCACATTGCAGGTGCTGTGGGGGGTAGGCCGGGCTCTGGGGCACCAGTGCTGGACTTTACCCAGCAGCCTGCCCCAGTGTGTGGAGACACATTTACCGCCAGAACTACAGAACTAAAGATGTTCCCTAAAGCAATTTCAGACCAATATTTCTTCCTATGGTTTGTTCATTGTTTTATATATTATCTAAATATATGTATATGCTGTGTAATACTCATAATCTGGAAATGAATAAAATGCTATATTCTTGGTTTGTAAATTTGTTTTTCGTTTGTGTTTTTAGATGGAGAGAGAACATGAGTGGGGCTGGGGAGGGGCGAGTCGAGGAGGAGAGGGCATCTTAAGCAGCATGGCGCCCAACGTGGGGTATGATCCCATGACCCTGAGATCATAACCTGACCCGAAATCAAGGGTTGCACGTTCAACCGACTGAGCCACCCAGGCGCCCCAGTAAATTTGTTCTTAGTTTATTTTTTAAATGATATTTTCCTTTCCTTTTTGATAGGAACATAGAGCTCTTTCCAAAGAACATCCCATCCACTCATGCTGTGAAATACCTCACAGTAAGCACTTCTAGAACAAGACGTCTGTACAGATACTGATTTATAACAACTCCAGGCTACGCTAACTGGGAAAAAATGTGAACAGCATATGATCAGAAGAATCATCTTACTGGGAATTAGGGCCCAAGTGAAGCTTAAGACAAAATGACATCTAGACCAGATTGCTCTTAATTCCCTTAGGAAGTTGTCACATTGGAGCCCCACGTGCTCTTTTGTAACAGCACACCTACTGTTACTCAGCGTTGGAGCCCATCACCGTTTCCCTGTCCGAGCTCCAGATGAAGTCTTTCCTTGAATTTAGGGACTTCCAGGAAAAGCATTTCTTTAAACACTCGAATCACCCGAGGGAGATGAAAGCTTACCCTCACCACCACCCCCCATCCTGCTTCTTGGGCATATGCTCTGTTAGTGGGATGACAGACCCTGGTACAAACAGTTACATTCACAGAAGTTACACGCTTCCCTGAGGCACCTCTGCCCTGTGTGACATTGCTGGGGACAGAGAAGGACATGTGCAGACATGCCTGGGTCTTCAAGGATACAGATGAACCAGTAGAGTGGCTACATCTGGAGAGGATGGGTATTGTGTTATTTGTAGACTTTGTGTACTATAAATATTTTTTTTGGAAAGTAATATGTAAGAATCCCAAAGTCAAGAAAAAGCCGTCCTACATACAGGGCTCTCCCAGGAAACGCCCCCTGGGTCTGGTCCCATGCCCCAGGGATGACGCTGGGAGTGTGGGCACCCGCCATTTAGATTCCAGTGAGAGGTGAAAACTGCGCTGGATCCACTGTTGCCGTCGCGCCTTCTGTTAGGTTAAGTGGCGAGAAGCACTCCTCTCCCACGTGCTTACCGTCCAGGTGCGCTGCGTAAGCCCCGGACCGCTGGGGCGGCGGGGGCCAGGGTCTGGGGGGAAAGGTGCGCCACTGCCCCCTCGTGTGACTTGCGAGTTGGCTTTTCCCCCACAGTTGTCGAGTGCCTGACACTCAGGTGGGCTCCGTCAGGACAGCTCTGCCCTTTCTTTTCCTTCATCTGTGTCATGGATGCTGCCCCTCTGACGGAGTCAGCACGCAGAGGGCCGTCAGCCCAGGTGACAGGGCCAGCCCCCTTGTCCGTTCTTAAACATCTTAGCATTGCCGTTGTTAGAGGCCTTGGGCCTGTCCCCTGAACCTTCAGGGTTATAGTTGGAACCCTCAGAGGTGGGTGGCAGTGGGGTGGCCAGGGACGTCAGCAGAGCTCTGGTCACTGGACGCTGAAATCTTCCCTCCAACATGGTGTCTATTGTGGCATGAAAGAAAGATGCTTTTGTGGAGGCGAGAAAACCCGGTTAGCTTTTCATCTCTCTCCAGTGCCAGGCCATCAGTGAAGTGCTCCTGGAAGTCCAGAGAAACACAGTAACACACTCTCCTCCACACAGAGCCCCTTTCACCCCGAGGCACTTGTCGGACTATGTGTGGGGATTACCTCACCTCCCTCTTTGGGGTGGAAGGCGGCAGCTGTCGACTTCCCACATGCTTTGCATATTCATCCGAGGGGAAGTGAGGGGGCGTTGGGGGTGATGGGGTGTATTATCTAAGCTGGACCCAGGCCAGTGTGAATTGTGGCACCAATGAGTGCATACCCCTTTGCCCTCAGCTTTGCAGCTCACCAAGAAGATGGCGACAGCCAGTTAGGAGGCTGAGGGCAGGAAGAAGGACAGGCTGTGGGGGTTAGCGGCCTCCTCCTTGGAGCTGGGGCCAGAGTGACCTTACACTGGGGAAATTAAAGCTGTCAGAGTCACGTTATCAGGCTCCTTGGAAGTAGTCATGGTGTGTTTTAGAAGGAATTGCCTTCCAAGTGAGAGTATTAGTTAATTGTCATGAACTTGGGGGGAACAGGTGGTCCACCATTCCCAGCAGGATTCATCTTCGGTAAGAACAGATCCACTGTGGCCCTTTTTTGCCACTGGCCCACTGACTGATTTTCCTCTAGCCAGGCTGGCCTCCTCAGGAAAGTCAGGCATGCCAGAGGACACCAGGGGACAAGCCTCCAAGCCCATTTCCCCAGCACCTCAGCAGCTGTAGCCAAAAGCCTCACTGAGAAGTCACTGAAAAGATCTTGGTGCTCTCCTTGTCCGAGCCCTCTCTCCCCTTCCTCCATGTTACTGATGAGCACGCCACAGCCCAGGGAGAAGCAGGCCAGCCCCTCTAATAGTGGAAGGGTGGTTCGAGGACCCGGATCACCCGGATACCTGACCAGAGTCACATGCCGTCCCTGTCTTCCTTGCGTGGGTGCCCCCCCTTCCTGTGTATCTGGCTGTGCCCTTTTTATAGAGGGCAGTGAGAGGTGAGAGGATGTCCCCCTTGGTGGCTGGGCGAGGCCAGACCCTGCTGCTGGAGAGAGCTCAAGGCCAGGCTCAAGGCCAGGCTCGGATCCGCCTCTACAGTGAGGCCTGGCCTGCTCGTCCCCTCATGGCTGCGTGTTAGCTGACCTTCAGCGACCGAGGGAAGCGCGAAGAGCTTGTAGGGCAAAGGCTTGTGTTTCACTAATGGATCATAAAAGTAACCTATATTCATGGGACATGTAAACCACAAGAAGAATATAAAGTCAGACAGAAGCCCTGATTCCCACTAACGAACTGAAAGAACTTGAAGGGGCCAGGCCAAGTGCTACCCGCTTCACAGTATTTATCTTACTGGGTTATCGCAGCACTGAGACAGGGACCATTCTCGTTTTCCAGATGAGAACATCAAGGCACAGAGATGAGCACACCTGAGCGCCCCCAGTGATGCCCCCATTGGCGGAAGCGGATTCCAAACTCGGGCTGAGGAACCCACGCACTGGGCTCTTACATCACTTGACTTCTCTGACCTGCGGTTTCCTCCTCAGCAAAATCAGCCTGATGGGAAAACACCTGAAACGTGCGTCAGATCTGGGCCGGAAGAGATGCCCATGAACGAGGCGTGTTATTTTCACAAAACAAAAAACTATACAACAATGAAAAGGGACAAATCTCAGCTACGGGTGCAGCAGCAGCAGAGGCACGCCCCCGCCCCCCCAGCCCCCACATGCACAGTGAAGACAGCAAGGTACAGTTTATTAAGGGTGATTCCTTTCCTGTATGATCTTTAAAAAATTGTTTATTTTTGAGAGAGCAAGCATGAGCAGGGGAGGGTCAGAGAGAGAGGGAGATACAGAATCTGAAACAGACTCCAAGCTCTGAGCTGTCAGCACAGAGCCCGATGCAGGGCTCACACCACAAACTGTGAGATCATGACCTGAGCTGAAGTCGGACGTTTAACTGACTGAGCCACCCAGACGCCCCTCCATTTCTATATGACTTTTAGATAAGCAAAACAGTATTGTCCAGGATGCATTTATAAATGACAAGCCGTAGGGACAGCCAGGGGACTGGGTATCTCAGAACTCAGGACATTGTTTCACCCAGACATGGTGGGTGCAGGTGAGGGACTGGGAGCGGGAGTGACAGGAGAGGGGCTTCAGGGGACTTCCAAGGTCCACCAGTGCTTTATCTCCCAACCTGCGGGGTGTTTATACATGGATGTTTGCTTCATTACAATTTGAATTACATTGTGGAATATATTCTTCTGATTATATTTCTCAAAAAAAAAAACAAACCCGTCAAATTTCAATTACTTAGCCCTGGCCTATTAAAATGCAGACTCTTGGGGCCCAGCTCATTAAGATGCAGATTTTCTTTCAGGAGATCTAAATCTGGCAGACAAATCTGCATGTTAACACCTTCCCCTGGTGATTTGTGGTGCTTCTGGCACTTGAGAAGCTGCTCCAAGAGTAAGGATTGGTGCGGTACCTGCAGAGAGGCCAGGTGCTGGGAAGAAAGGAAAGCATAAAGCAAAGCCCCTCTCAGACTTCAAGTTCCTCTGATACAAAATTCTAGTCTGGAACTTCCATGTCTGCACCTTTTCCAGAACCTGCAAACACGGGGTCCTGTAATGCAGACCACGAGTGCCTCCGAGCTTGGTAGACACGCTCCAAATTGTAATTCCACAAGGCATCGAACATCTGGATGGCACGAGCCTTGGAAAAATTGTGCCTCTTGGTATCCATGGAGTCTGAAGCAAAGCAAAACAGTCTGTGAAGGGTGGGATACGGAAACACAGCGGCCGGAGCCCCTTATTACGGGGTGTCGAATGTCACCGAGAGTCGCTGCTCTTTTCCTGCATGAGGGTAATAACTGAGAACCGGGACTCTCACGAGTTCTCTCATCACTTGGGTCTCCCCCAGCTCTCTTCCATAAAGTCTTGGGTTGTGAGCCCACCCGGCCACTGGGAGGGAGTACAGTAAATTCAGTCAGTACTAGAATAGGCCTGCACACACCGTAGCCCCCAGGTTCCAAGGCCGCCTCCAAAGCTGCCCCGCTCCAAGGCTGCCCTCATGTGCACTTGAACTCTAAAAACAGAATCCTGGGGCGCCTGGGTGGCTCAGTCGGTTGAGCATCCAACTTCAGCTCAGGTCATGATCTCAGTTTGTGGGTTCGAGCCCCACATCGGGCTCTGTGCTGATGGCTCAGCCTGTTTCAGATTCTGTGTCTCCCTCTCTCTCCGCCCCTTCCCCACTCATTCTCTGTCTCTCAAAACTGAATAAATGCTAAAAAAAATTAAAAAATAAAATAAATAAAAAAATAATAAAAACAGAATCCTTCTGAGCCT